GGGAAAATCACTCACTGGCAGACAGTTTCAGCAACAAGGATTTTTTATTGAAAATGGCTTACCTCACAGATATATTTGACAAACTAAATATCCTCAACACTTCACTTCAAGGGAATGAGGCAACTGTACTTTCTTGGAATGACAAAGTGAAGGCATTCATGAGAAAATTACAGCTCTCGAGAAACAGTATGGAAAGTGACATGCTAGACATGTTCCCTACTCTAGTGTCAATGGTACAAGACACTGATAATCCAGTGCTTCCAATGGACATAAAAAGCTGCCTACTTGAACATCTCATAATGTTGAAAGTTCATTTCATAAAATACTTTTGCAATGAATTTGATTTGTTTCATTCTGGTCCGTCACACTAACAATTATAAATACAAACCACTCTGTCCAATGTGACATATAAGTTTTTACTACATGAAAACTTATCTCCCTTACATGTTTCGGTCCTTATGGACCATCTTCAGAGGGAACATCATTATAAACTGGAAACTACCATCACAGTAGGTGTTTCGATTTAAAATACATACTTATATCCTATAATGCACAGTACGCATAAAGTCGAACATTTCACAATCACAGCAGCTTCCTGGTATTGTAAAGTTTTTGTATGCATTTTAAATCGAAACACCTACTGTGATGGTAGTTTCCAGTTCGTAATGATGTTCCCTCTGAAAATGGTCTGTAAGGACCAAAACATGTAAGGGAGATAAGTTTTCATGTAGTAAAAACTTTTATGTCACATTGGACGGAGTGGTTTGTATTTATACTTTTGCAATGATTTTGATAAATTTAATTGGATTAAAAATCCATTCGAAAATGCTCCTGGGCCATCATCTCTGAAGGTAAATGAGCAAGAACAACTTATCGATCTCACTAGTGATACTTCATTAAAAAGTAAATTTAACGAATTTAACTTGTCTCATTTTGGTCCGTCACACTATTAATTACAGAGTAGATAATGAAAAGTTCAGTCCAGTGTGACATACAAGTTTACAACACTTCAGTCCTCATTCACTTTACATGTTTCGATTCAAAAGAATCATCTTCAGAGGTGCACCACTATGATAAGGAAACACTATCACATACGACAGTTTAACAATATGCACTTTAGATATGACTAATGCTCTCTATATAAATTTTGTTATCACGGTTGGTTTTGATGTTTGTCTTAGGCACTCACAATGGCGCTTTTTGACATGTAGATTTACTAGTTATTCTGACTGGGGTTTTCCACTGCACGCAATATTGTGTTCACTTTTTCATACAGTACACTCCCAGTATATTTAAAACTGTATTAAAATTTCCATGTAAAAAATTGGTTATTATATTAAAATATCTTAAGCCGACATTGGGTCATATTGTTTTCCTCCTGATGGTGGGAGATGTCGTTTATTTCTCTTGATTTTATGTTATTATTAGTATTGTAGTTTACGTGCATGCTGTGTCATTGTAAACTCGTATGTCACACTGGACTGAACCTTTCATTATCTACTCTGTAAATTTAAGGAACTGTCTTTGTTGGAGTTCTGGATACATATTGGCAAGGAGTTCCCAACTTTGAGCCAAAAAGCATTGAAGATACTGATTCCTTTCGCAACAACTTAGTTATGCAAGACAGGCTTTTCTGCTTTGGCAGCTATAAAGTCAAAGTATCGTTCCAGGCTAAATATTGCTAAAGAAGTTAGAGTGGCCATTTCTGATATTACACCACGTTTTGATAAACTTTGTTCTCAAAAGCAGGCCCATCCATCACACTGAACTTTGATATTTAAATGTTTGATTTTCTTTGCAGAAAAAATTAAACACTTGTTGGTTAAATATTGTTTCATTTCAATACATACTTTGGTTAATTGCAAGTGTTAAAACTAATTTATATGGTAGGCCTAATACTGTGATACTTTAATTTAGAGTAAAAAAGCTGATAAATAGTACGTAGAAAAACACAAAATAAACTGAATAAAACGTCAAACATACCATGACTTCTATTTTGATAAAAAAACAGGCTGGGGGTCTGAGAGTATTTTCTCTTGTCAGCGGGGGCTCAGAGGTAAAAAGTTTGAGAACCACTGTCATATGCAGATTACTGTATCCAACTTAGTTCAAACTTTAATGCATACAAACAAGATTTCTCTCTGACACAGTTTACTAGTAGAGTGTTTCCAGATTCTGTAGGTCAAGAATGTATTAAAAGTACCTTGACAATTAGAAACCAAGAGCTGGGCATTTAAATTGCTTACCAAAAGGCTGGCAGCAAATGTGTTAATCATACACAGCCCACCTGTGAATGATGTAAACTGCCTTCTGATCCTGGACTCGGAGAATTTTGAGGAAAGGTGTCACAGTGAGCTTGTTACCTTTTTACGCCTGCTGGCAGCAACGCTCCCTACCGGCACCCTTCAGCCTGTCACATTGGTGCTGATGTGGATCCTTCACTCAGCTTCAGTAACACCTCCACTGCTTCTGCATGAACCAGCCCCCACATGACAGTTACAGAAGCGCCTATTAAACCAATAAAAGCATCATTCTGTGTCAAACGACACAGCTGAACTGCAACTTATACCAGGGATACATGACACCTCTTACAGAGTACAGGAGATATATTGCATCCACCATCAAATGCAGATCTAAAGGGCAACCCAGTCCACATTCTTGACAACTCTCTTTTGTGTAATTTTTCATGTGTATAAAATATTTAAAGGTAACCTTATCTCTATGGGGCACAACACTGAGCCTGATATAAATGTTCTACTCCCAATGGAGAGGCATAGAAGAACTTTCACTCTATGACCAACAGGTACATAAACTGGTAGTAAAGACTCAAACACAGGCATACAGCAATTCTGCAGCATGTTTCTACATGGCAGCAAACTCTGAATGAAGATCAATGTGTGTCTGGTTCTAAGCAAGCTACATGAAACGCTATTTCCAGTGCTTTAATCACATTTTAAAATGCACCACAGGCTTGTGTTAAGGACAATCTACTGATGAGGAGTATAGCTCTTGGGGAATAATAATGTCTGTTACATTTCTTTCTTCAGTCTCAAACTTCAGATTGGGGGGAAGGGGGGGACACTTGGTAAGCCCTGTACCAATTCATTCATATTCAATGTATTCTGACACAATTAGGCCAGGCAGTTTATGCCTTTGAGGCCTCATGTTCATTCAAATTATATTTAAAAATCGAATTCCTGTCTCACAGGGAACATTATGCTGTCACAATAACACTTCATGAAGCTGAAACCAAACTGTACAGATTTTCATGGAAGCAGCTAAACCAATAGGCTTTAGAAAACTGCTGTTCACCGTGAGAATCGCACAAAACACAGTGTGCATGCAGAATCCAGTCTTGTTAATGTTAAAACAGACGGTTCATATAGTAACCGGTATGAGTTAAAAGATATCATTTTATTGATATGGTGATTATGTGTGCACAAAATAAAGATTTTTTGGTAATACCTTTTTTAATCTATACCCGCAAATCTAATTACATATATATCAATCAGTTAAAACGGAAAATGCTAAGATTAAAAAATCCAGTAATGTAAATGTGATTTGTAATGCTTACTACATTTGCTTTAACAAGATTCAGAGCCAACGCGTTAGCATTAAATCAATTACTAATGAGAAATGAGTAAATATCACAGGAAAGCAGTTAAAATGTAACCGTCAATGAGAAAAAATTCATTATAATTTAATTTATAACCATTCCCCTCATTCTGAATGCTGTAAGATGTACTATCATACAAATGTTCGTTGCCCACAGAGCATATAAGGCACAGACGACCACCATTTTGAATCTTCTTCCTTCTCCACGTCTTCTTAAGAAATATTTCGAAACGTACCAAAAGCTCTGCTGCAGTGGGCGTTGGAGTAATATAAACCATTTACACACAATTTCCCAGTACAAACTCAAAATTTTTTAACAATTACACGCTACTGAAACACGAAGTTCTTTCAGTAAGGCGAATTTCTGGACTATAAAAATGACTAATGGCTGTCACAACAAAATACTGGCATTTATCAATCAGTTTACCACTACAATTATTGTCAAATTTGCGACTACGTAACTAGAAGACAACAGAAATCTTACCGACGCCTTAACCTTCCATGCAAAAAGCCTGTACGTCAAAAATTAAAAGGCCTCAAACTCATTCAACCGAGGACTACCACGCTTAACCAGTCGATCATTCCACTCAGTCATCCCATGTTACATCGCTCTTAGCGCCACTAACGGACCTAACGTGAGTTTCTACAATTTTAGCGACGCACGAAGGACAATGCGCAAACATTTACGTGATTTTACATGTTTACAATGAGATTTGATAACGTGTAACATATAAGGATGCAAATCATGCTGTTACGTTGACAGGACGCGGCAAAGGATTGTAATTAAAGCAAGGAATACTTGGTGCTACTTCGAAGGTAGTGTCTTTCAGTCATGTTGTCTATTTTACGTACCCATATTATATTTAACAAGTAGCTTTTCGTTAAACATTTGAAGTTACATGTGTACCATCTCGACTACGCTCTACACTATGGCGAAACTGAAACATCCCCAGCTACTCGTACTGTTTACATAAATGACTTCGTATTTTGAATTTCGGCACTCCAATGATGAAGGGTTGAGGGAATCGCATATTAATTGTTAAGAACGGTCAATTCACCGCTCCCTCTTTGTATGGCTCTACCACGGTGCCGGAGGCCAGACAAGTTTCATCACAAGATGTCATCGTGTGACATCTTGATTTGAACAATTCCCGACTCAGATCCTTGAATCCTTAATAATTAGTACTTTACCGGTACTTCACACATTACAATGTTATTTAGTGGTACTAATGTAGCATGCAAGTTAGCAAGAACCGCAGTTTTTTCCAACAGTAATTTAAATTAGTCCAAAAGTCAATGCATATTTTCCAGCCTCCATTTGCTTCACCTCTTACAAAATTAGAACTCTTGTCGAGGAAGAAATGCCTTATAGTCAACTCATTTTGACAGATAATACGCACTTCAAAGCTCGAAACATTGCTTTGCATTTCTTATATTGAACACATGAAATTTGGTATTGAGAGAATATGATTTTTAAAAACCATTCGCCAGTGTAAGTCCTAGTTTCTTGTCTTGCTTCACAGTGCCATCTCAAGCATATAGGTTATGTATCATGATTACCATAAAGATATGTAATATAAATTATATCCACCCCCTGAGATCTACAGCATCTTCTAACCAGTATGGTGTAGGTTTAATGAAACAATGTATGACTGTACAGTGTCTCTGTAACATTAGCTATCAGGGACAGTGGGTTGCAATGAATGCATTTGGCAGGTGCCAGGATGGTACTTTGAAATCAGGGCATGTTCATATCCTTTCCAACTCATTCACTAATAATCCATAAACAGATGCTTAAAATCGTAGTTTATCTCCAAATCGCTCATGAGTTTTGCCTAGAATGTGTCATTGATGATAAGGCTATTCAGTTGACAAGTAGATTGAGCACTTTCGTGTGCAGATACCATGGAACTGAGGTGCACTATACAGCAATATGCCTGGGGCAAATATGGATGGAGCAGTGAGGTGGCTCTGCTCCATAGCAGCGGCAATCCAGACTTTACGATTGATGATGCGACACCATATGCAGAATTATGGATGGGGACTCATCCAAATGGGCCCTCAGTTCTGAAAGGTTCCAGCCAGGAACTTGGCGATTGGATACAGACTCATCCTACAAGTCTTGGAGCCAAAGTCACGGAGAAATTTGGAGTGCAGCTTCCATTCCTGTTCAAAGTATTGTCTGTCAATCAAGCATTATCTGTTCAGGCTCACCCAGACAAGGTATTTCATCTCACCAACAAACTGAAGTAGTTCCCTGCTACTAATAAAATATTAATTTAACCAGCAGTGTGCAACATGTGTGGTTCTGTCCAGAACTTAACTCTTTTTACTGCAGAAATGTATTACTGTAGAAGGGACAAACAAACCCTATTCTTACTTCAACTCTGAAAATGGAGAGTGTATGCATCTCCTAGATATTGGCACCCAGCTACAGAGTGGAGAAAATTTAACATTGAAATAACTAACTTAGGTAATTATTGAAACTGAAGAACTCTGAATGTTTATAGTTCTTGGAACTTGAACTCACTCGAAATATACCTTCTGTTTAAAACTGGCAAGTGAGCACCATCCTTTGTAACACTTGCTGTGGAAATTTAGAACATGAGCTATGTTGGGGTTTACTGTCATGTGCTGTCTCACAAAATCATCAAATTTTGTTATCAGACACTCGCTGAGAAACTCCACTGTAAGCATCCAGACATTTACAAGGATCCAAACCACAAGCCAGAGCTTGCCATTGCGCTCACACCGTTTGAAGCTTTGTGTGGCTTCAGACCTATTGAAGAAATAAAACATTTTTTAGAAGGTAACACAATCAGGTAACATTTTTATGAACAAAGATCAGTACTCAGCATATGAAAAGCCTTTTTTTTTTTGTTGCAGTGGTACCAGAACTGAGAAAAGTTGTCGGGCAGGAAGTGGCGAATGAGCTGCTGGCGAGCGATGAAGCAGGAATGCACCAAGCCCTGAAGAACTGCTTTAGCTCTCTGATGACATGCCCCAAAGAGACTATACAAGTGCAGCTTCAGGCACTACAGGAAAGACTGGCATCCCTAGGTATGCCAGACACACTCAACAATAGTTTTGATCCACATTCAGGAGATCATGGGTTTAGTCTTCACCCCAAGATTTAATATCCTGACTTATGGTTTTCCTCAGTCCCTTCAGGCAATTTTCTGGATACTCTCTCAAATTATGTCACAGCCATTTCCATCCACATTGTTTCCAATTCATTACTCATTAATGAGCCTGCCATTCAGCACTGTATACTCTGAGCTCCTGACAGTGTTGTTAAATAAGTAAATAAACAGTACGATTCTGTTCTTTCTTGCACTTTAATATACGTTTCTGCTACTTTAACACAAGATGGGGAGGGGGGGAACATTTATTTTTTTTTATAATCTTTGGACTTCATTTATCAGGATACAACTCCTTTAAAATGTACATATTTATTATTTTGACCTAAGAGTATGAATGTTTCTAACATATTAATCCAGCAAAGAGTACAAATTATGAATTTCCTCATTATGGAATTTTCTTCATTCTCCTGTCACTTCCTCCCCCTTTGTATCAAAATATTCCCCTCAGCACCCTGTTCAAAAAAACCTTCAATCCAGAGTCTGCTCTGAAACGACTGTATAGACATACAGAAAATAAGTAATGCATTCTGCTCTAAGAGCAAGAAGCTAAGCATGTGCCAATCTTTAATTACTGCTGTCAGTGTATACCTCTTACCCAGACGAGAGTTCTCTGGCCGACCAGAATGCTGCGCTCCTTCGGACACTGCACCTCACTTACCCAGGAGATGTGGGCTGTTTCAGCATCTATTTCCTGAACCATCTCATTCTTCAGCCAGGCGAAGCTATGTACCTTGGCACAAACGAACCGCACGCATATATACACGGAGGTAAGCAATTCATGAACTGCCAACAGCAGTGAATATTATTAACATGATGACAGTCATCTTGGATGTGTCATGTATAGTTTTGTTGACAAGTACCAGTGTTTTGGAGGAACCTATTTGCTGACACCACGTTCAGGGTTACCAACCTACATGCTGTCACATCTCTAATGATCATAATCTTAGCAGGGAATGTGACATTTGTGTTTAATTACTTTCTTTATACATTGGCATCGAAGACAATTCTTACTGTGAAACCCCACCACTTAAGGTTTCTTTGGGGACTGGGGGGATTTGAACAATAGATTTAGGAAAATCTTAAATGGAGGTAAATTTAACACTAGGATCATTGACGTTGAATGTTACTGAGAGAGAACACTGAATGAAGGTTCCAGTGTATTGTGCAGTTCAGGAAGCGTCACAATCCTGTCTGCTTCACGAAACACCAATGCCTCATAAACAAGCCAACAGTTTTACCACTAGTGTGTGATTTCATAACATGGCTCTTATGGGTTTTGAGGGTTCAATATGAATTCCATGTGTTCCAAAACAATGGAGAGGAAAATTTTTGAACCCAAGAGGGGAAGTAAATGAACACTTAGGATATTACTTAACGAAGAACTTCATGCAGGTCACGTGGTGTTATTCTGTCACTCACTGGACATATAACTTTCATTTGGGAGGGGGGAGCTCAGAAAAAGGAGGAAAGATAACATTAAAATGGTTCTTAGGAAAACAGGCTGAGAGGATGGGAGGTGGATTGAACTGGCTCGGGAACATGTCCGGTGGTAACTGTGCTGTTATCATCAGTGTCAAATCTGTGGGTGCTGTAGATACAACATTATTGTAAAACAAGCAGTTTAATTGAAGATTGAAGAATGTCGTCTTCTGGGATGTGGTGCCTTATAGATCTTGTGTGAACAGATGTTCCTCCAAAACGTCGGTTCACACTGGATCTACATGGCGCCACATCCCAGAAGACAGCATTCTTCACAGTCACCACCGTGAAAACCCCAAATATTACATAATTGAAGACTGCTCTACTTACAGACTGCATCGAGTGCATGGCATGTTCTGACAATGTTGTTCGTGCTGGTCTCACGCCGAAATACAAGGATGTGGAGACGCTGTGCAGTATGCTCACGTACAGCTGTGAACCTTCACATGCAAAACGTTTCCAAGGCATCCAAGAAGACGAGTGTACACTGACATTCCGCCCACCAGTTGCAGATTTCTCCGTGGCTAAAATTAATGTGAGCACAAACAACAGGTTCCCTTCAAATGTTTCAAAGTGTACAGGAAGGTTAACAAGAATAATAAAGCAATACTTACACAGTACTCTGCTTTCCACCTCAGTAGTTCTTATAGAGAGCCATGTTGAAAATACTGGTATTAGGCATTAAAAAGCTTGGCATGATGTTCACACCAGTAAAATCTTACTGAGGCAGTATGATGATTCACTCAACAATGTTAGTACAGTTAGCATTACTGGATTTCTGGGCTCCTGACCTCTGTCTTGAGCATTCCAAACAGGACATGTTTTGTAAACTGAATCCATTTCTGTTGTCAGGTGAGAAAATGAAATATCTGAAGGAACAGATGTGTTCTGTTTGGAATGCCATGAGGACAGGCACCCAGACCGCACACCCTCTCCATGGGCTGTTTGTTCACGGAACAGCCGCAGTTAATCAGAAACCTTAAGCCATTGCAATTTTTCAGATTCCAGCCATGATGACTGACCATTCACTCATTCCACGGGACAGTGCTTCCATTCTCATCGTGATCAGCGGACAAGCAACTGCTGGTGATCTCGTGTTAGAACGTGGCAGCATCATTTTCCTTCCATCAGACCAAGTGCTGAATATACACTGTGCTCAAAGTACACAGGACCTTCTAATGTTTCAAGCAATGTGTAATCTATAGTACACTGCAAGTGTATATGCACATAAAATGCTTTTCTGTATAATGGAGAAATATTTTTCCACTTCTCATTATGGTTCTGAAAGTTTATCTTGAAAAAATAAAATATAAAAAAGAAAAAAAAATACAATCACAACCTTTATATAAAGTGGTCATTGTTTATTTGTCTGTGGGGCCTAACTGCCTGAACAGTTTCCAGGAATGCAGAACATTTTAAACATGAATCTGAAAGAAGAATGTCATATTGGAAAACCGAAATCAAGATAGGAAAGAAGAAACTTAAGGAGACAGGGAGAGGCTTTGTTGCTAGAGGACTCTCATAAAGCATAAACAGTGAAGGAAGGACGGGTTGGATATGTCACAGAAAGTAAACCATCTATTCTGCATCTTTGACAAAAACATTCACAAATGAAGTAAAAAAAATGTGTATTTCAGCATGTAGATATTGTGTTAACCGACGTTTTGGGGGAACATATTGCCTCCATCTTCAGGGTAGAAGAAAAAAGAAAATCTGCATGCAGAGAATCAGCATGAGCAGGTGCTAATACACTCCAAAACATCGGTTAACACAATATCTACACAGTGCCACATTTCAGAAGACTGCTTTCTTCATAGTCACCACCATGAAAACCTCAAATCTTACATAATTTATTTCAATTCACACAAAGAACGAGATGTAGAAAGTCACACTGATTCAACCGTATTATTTATATTCATTTAGTAAATATATAAAAAACATTACATATTTTGTTTTGCAAAAGTTGTTACATTTCAATATAAAAATCAAAGGCCCAAAAAACTTCAGCATCATTCAAACTTATTTGGTGAGTTTACTGTTCGCCACAGAACTTAATATTGCATGGTGGATTCCGAAGGGATCTTGCGACTTGTTCTCTCACGAGAACACTGGTGACATATAAGTAGAACCTGCTTGCAAGTCAGTGATGCTAGTCTGAACATATGGCCCACTTACTTACTACCTCTTAAATTTAGTATCCCTTTGGCATTCCCAAGAGTGGGTGGTGGTGGTGGTGGTGGTAGAAGAAGATAGGAAAGCAGTATGCTCTGAAGTTGGTAGCAGAAGCATGGGTGGTATAAGTACCATGGCAAAGTGGCACTGTTGTTACACCTGCCACCAGAAGAGCTGCAAACTATGATAGGAGCAGAAGACACCAACTGCAAAGAATGAGGTGAGAATTCTGCAGTGGACCAACAACAGAGCAGAAAAGGCTATACTGTGGAGCTCATGGACAGGAGTCAGTGTGGGACTTCTGGACTGGACAGCAGTTCTCATGTGATGCGAAATGACAAATCTTGTCTGTCATAATGGACATGTCTAAGTTCCTGTAAGGTGTGGAAGGGATAAATGCAAAAAGATGGGGAAATCCCCCCCTTCAAGAGTTTTTTTGTCCATGTTCCATGTAAGAGATCCTATTTGCTGCAGAATGAAATGGGGGGGGGGTTCTAGAAATTACATCAAAACATATGACATGTGCAGACTGATGGCATAAGGCACAAAGGCAGTTGAGGTCAACCTGACCAGCCTGCAAATGTAGTATGGCATGGCAGCGACCAGTTGCAACATTTATGTGATGTCAGTCATAGACATAACACGAAGGCACCCCTCAGAACAGCAGAAATGGTGATGCACCTGTAGGCTGCTCAAGACAAGCAGGCTTAAGGGCCATGACACACGGAGTGGTTTTTGCCGAGTCAGCAGCCGACTTGGCACGTAGTTCTATTGCATCAGATAGGATAAGACAGACAAGGCAGTGCTCGCCAACAGGCGGCAGATATGCTGACTGGCCTGTTGTCTGCAGGCAGTGCAGTGAGCGGTTTTAAGACTTTGTGCGCGCTGTTGCTACATAGATTGAATACATTCTCAGCAGTTTCTGATGCGGTGGATGAATCAATGGTAAGCATCCCTATATTAGATCTCATATAAATTAAAATATGTATATGTAATGGAATGAAGTTCTTTATTATTAAATATTTAACATTGTTTACATACAGTACGAAAAGCATACAAACATTTACTGACAGTTTTCTATTTCATTCCACTTTTTCCTGACAGAATGCTGGAGAGTAGGATTGAGGTCCACAGCCGACCAGCAACAGTTCATCGAAAGATTCACTCTACATACAAACGAAATTATAAAATTTATCTTCATCTTGTCATGCTTGATTAAATAAAGTGTAAAATAGACCTTTTGAAGTCCTATCTCTCACAATTGGGTTAATCCATATTCTCCGACATTTCCTTCTCCTCCTCCTTCAAAATTGATAAACAATAAATACAGTATAATACACAGATAATATATTGTAAAAGACGGAGACTAGTTGCTGAAACGAAGGAGACGTAGCAAGCCCAGCAACAGGAAGAAAAAGGAACAGGGATGTACCATTAGGCTGTTCAGGACAAACAGCCTTAAGAAGGGAGCAGTGTGACGTATTGCCCTATTGAGGACATCCCTCCCCCGCCAGCGGTGATGTAACATCGGGCGCTGTTTCTACTACGGTAACAGGCCAGTCAACACTCCGGCCCCCCTCCCCCGCAGTGACATAGCGGGGGATGCCGCGGTTGCTATGCAGCAGTAAACAACTCTTGACAGCATTGCCCAGCAACACTTGTAAACACAGCGACTAGGAACAAGAAAGCGAGGCGTTTTCCCATTATCTGGCTGAGGGTTTATCAGAGAACTGCACTGCCTAAGGAGTTAGTTAAAATGTAGCAGCCACCGAAGTCAGTTGAAATATAGCAGCAGTCGCGGAAAGAAGACGCGAATGCATGGTTAGAAGATCTTATGTGATAGTGTGTGATAACTGAAAAGTCAGCAAGTGAAGACTTATTGTGTGACTTCAAGATTGTGTGCTGTAGTACAGTTATATTGGGACTGTGTAATTAAGAGAGACTTGTATAGCTCCCGTGTTATAAATACGTGAAGACTACTGAAGACAGAGTGAATAGATTATTGTGCAGGGTTTGTAAAGTGTGAAAACCCGCAACCGTGTTATCAGTAACTGTAGTTACGATTTGTAGGTTGTTAAATAAACCAATTAACAATCTGAACGGCGTCTTCAGTAGCAAAACACATTACAATATCTTGATAAATCACAAATTTAATAGCTCCCTTAATCTAAAGTCTAACATAAATATGGCTGCAGTCATGTTTCTGACAATTTGTTGATTCTGAAAGTTGTTTAAGTCACTTTATATATTATATACAATTTTATGTCAATGCTTCATTAACATCAATTCAAAAAACATGTCTACTTAAGATTACAAAAATGTAAGAACAACAGTCATAGTATTTACCAGCATTTTTGAGTAGACTTAAATGAAAAAGTGAATTTTATCATAACAAGGAGCAAGATGACTTGTACTACTTTCAGAATAATAAATTGCTCAAATATGAAACTCAATACTGTGGTCTGATAACTGACTGTTAATTCACGTTCTCTGGTGAAGCCCTCTTCCTGTTGCCACAGCATTATCAGCTACTGATAACATCTTGGAGAATTCTGAACTTGAATCAGACAAGAGGTTGGCAGGGTTGTCCCATTCTAATACCTGAAACAAGAAGAGAAAAGCACCATGCCAGAAATTGTCCTGACATACTAAAAAGGAAACCAGAAAGAATGTTACATCCTTCATCTTGCAAATATAAACAAGCACCGATCATTTAACTGTCGTATTCAGTGAGACCAACAGACAGGACTTGCAGAAAGGAAGATTTTCAGCCAGTTTAACATGGTTCATGGGGTGCCAACAAAATGGCCTCTTCTGCTTACTGTTACCTGTCTGGAATTCTGCACTGCAAACCAGACCTGAAATCTGCTATCAAAACTGTCTCCTGAATTAATATTTTGGTCCTGTGCAATGTGATGCTGTGTGGCTTGGTAGATAGATACTGATGTCTCACAGAAACTACTACCCCCATCTTCAGGGTAGAATCCATCTATTCTCATGACAAGGACAGCATATTCCTCTAAAATACAGGTACCTGCATACCAGACTATAAGTGTCACATCCCAGAATACTGTAATAGTAACATTTACTTATGTAAGAACTTCCATTTTCAGAGAATTTCACAGAGTTTCTAGTAAAATTACAGCACACATCTTAACTGCTGCATACAGTGTAAGCATGAACAACAAAAGCATACCTGCCCCCCTCTCATGACTAGTACTCTGTCGCAGCTGGTAACAGTTGACAGTCTGTGTGCAATTGTCAAGACTGTACAATGCTTGAACTCCGTACGGACTGCAGTCTGAACGGCTGCTTCAGTCTCAGGATCCACAGATGCCGTTGCTTCATCCAGAACAACAATCTATCAATAATGACAACACCAGTGAACACTACTTATATTGGAAGTGAATAAATTTGTGGTAGGTGGCACTGGAGACAGACTCCTGGAAGATGGAAGAGGAATCCAAGATCCAAATCAGTTGGTATAGCCAGGAAGGAAACAAGGATTGAACACAACAGTCTGCAGGGTGGAGCCCATCACGCTCTGTGCCCTACAACACAGGATCATGGGAAAAGTGAATGGCCAAAGTGCAACATCATGGGTCAGACACGGCCTTTTTGCTGGTACAGTGGAACCTCGCTTCACAAGCATAATTCGTTCCAGAATCTTACTCGTAATGCGAAACACTTTTCCCCATATAAATTAATGTAAAATACGATAATGCGTTCCATGCCAAAAAAAAAAATACTCAAAAAATTTTATGTATATCATTTATTCGAAGAAAATTATATATACAAAGTAGATAACTTTCAGTCCAGTATGACATAGAGGTTTACAACACTTCAATCTTTATTCGCCTTACATGTTTCGATTCAAAAGAATCATCTTCAGAGGCGCACCACTACGAGCAGGAAACACTGTCACATAAGATGTTCTAACATTATGCACTTAGGTTATGAATAGTGCTCACTATATCACAGTTTGCCCTATGCAGCCACGTTGACGTGTAGATTTACGTATGATATTTCATTTAAGCGTATTTGCTGGGTATTCGATTGGGGTTTCCCACTGAATCGAAACATAATACACCTCATTCTCGCTTTTCAATGATTTTATGTTTCATTTCTACGGTTGCAAGGGTTATTAAACTTTGCACAAAAAAAAATCACAAATAATGTGTCTGAACACAAGTTTGGAAAAATGTGTGATCACAAGCGACACGATGCTAGCAGAACAAGCGCTAAACACAGACTGATGTAGCAAGCACACAATCTGGGACTTCCCCTCTCGTCACTTGTTATGTGAAACATCGCTCGCTAAGTGAGTCATTTTTTTACAATTTGTTTTGCTCGTTATGCAAATTACTCATTATGAGAGGTGCTCGTTAGGCGAGGTTCCACTGTAGTGGAATTGTATCCCTCAGGAGAGGGCCCAAGAGGGTAGAATTTCAGGTTATGAGTTGAGACAGGTCAGACACTGGAATGCTGATGATGAAATTCGTTCAATTCCCAGAGCAATGCTGGGTCCACTAAGCCTCTAACCTAATCATTTCTGGGGGCACTTCCCTTGAGAATAAAGTTACCAGAGCATGAAAGTTTGGGAATTTCTTGAGTGGCTGACAGACTGTCAGCTTCTCCACGCAGACAGCACCACAAAGATAATGACATTAGTGTCTAACCTTGGTGTTCCTCAGCAATGCTCTAGCCAGGCAGAGAAGCTGGCGCTCGCCGACAGACAAGCTCTCTCCGCCCTGGCCAACACAGGCCTGCAGCTGTCCACTGATGCTTGAAATTCTGTCACGTAGCTTTGTCTTTTCTAAAGCCTCCCATATGGCTTCATCACTACAGGACTCGAATGGATCTAGGTTGAACCTGGAACAGACAGATGTTTCCATCAGCACAACCCCTGTGAGATTAGAGGTTGGCAGAGCAGTGACTACTATTGAGACTATTGTCCCCTGGGAATACAGGGTTTTGCCCAGGATGGTAACAATCTGCCAGACTACACACTCTCTGGAGCTTGTGCCTGCCTTGGGAAAGGGCGAAGAAGTTGGGCAGAATGACTAATGACTGGCTCAGGTGATCCTCCCACTCTGAAATGTGGTCCGGCCTCATGTGTGTGCCATATTCACACTTACACTTGACAGGGGAGAGGGAATGGAATGGTATACAGAAAAATTCACAGTGGATCTAGCCCAGTTTCAAACCCAAGAGCTTCAGCACCTCTAGACCACTAAATCCCCATGGAAGAATGACACGCAGATGAAGGACTACAATTGGTCTCAGCATCTGGCAGAGTCCTGTGAAGAGGGTAGCAATTCTGCTCCTCACCACAGCCGTGCCTACATTGACTGTGGAGACTGTCCAGAACAGCACTCTTTCCTGCGAGGAATTCCACCTGAAGCATCAACCTCACTGCTCAAGTCAACAGTGGGTGAAGCCACATCTCCACTTTACACAGGGCCACCTTTATGCTTGTATCTTATGGAAAGAGACTGTGAGGATGGGAGGTGGATGGAACTGCCTCAAGATGGTGTCTAATGGAGGCTTTGGCCATCGAAACGCAAGGTTAGCAAGAAGTTATTTAACATAACGTCCTCACCTGATTGTGCCATCAAACAGGACAGGCTCTTGAGGTATGACAGAGACACTAGTACGAAGCTGTTCCAAGTTTATGTCTGCTATGTCTAGGCCATCTATCTTGATTTTACCTGATGAGAGCTCCACTAAACGGAGAAGTGCCACTACAAGAGAGCTCTTGCCTGACCCTGTTCGTCCCACTATCCCTGAAACAAATCCACAGAATATTAGTCAGATCTCTGCATTTGTGAGACAGGGGTGGAAAGTGTGTGTTCCCATTTTGATTATGATTTCTTGATGTTTATTTATGTCGGTGCAAATATTTCAGTAAAATGAAAAGTCAGTTCTTCATACCATTACATGTGTCATGCCACTAATTTCAATCCTCAAAACGGCATGGCCATGTCAAGCAGTATATTGCCGACGATCCAGGCTAATGAAGAGGATGAAGATAAACGACTAATTAAAAACCGAATGAATAAAGTAAAAGATATGAATCTTACTAAGATTTGTATTTTATCTTATGTACACATCTTTCATACTTTGGGGGTCAGAAGATTACATCTTCTGGAATGTGACACCCTGTGATGTGGTAGCTACAGTGAAGTTGGAGGCAAGAAGTTCCTCTGAAACACTGGTAATGATCTATTACACTATGCAACATCATATCTCAGAAGACTGTAATCTTCAGGCTCACTGCCATGAGAACCCCCACATCTGACTCACACAACAATCAAAATTAAATTTCACTCAAATCTCCTCTGGCAGTTAGGCATTCCCAAGTTGGTTTTAAACTCAACAGTGAAATGGCTGATCAACCAAGATGATTTAGCATGTTCACTTGCTGTGATAGCTTCGCATCTTACACAAAATTAAATTTGTATGATGACATACAGACCACTAATATAAAGCTCATTGAAATTTGTGTTGGAGATCAAACACGAGTTTAGGCAGGTGTGACTTCCCATTATGCACTTAACCTCAAAACTTGCAGCTGCCATACCTAGTCTCTCCCTGGGGTTTATGCTAAATGACACGCCTTTCAATACATCTGGGAGTCCCTTCCTGTATCTGAGAGTGACATTCTGAAATCTGATGCCACCTTCACTTGGCCATTCTGATGATGGTTTCGACACAACTCCCTGTTGCCCCTCATGTTCCAGGCTCTGCAAACAAGGGATCATTCAACTGCAGTACAGTACCACCTGCTTCAACACACAAAAGCTCTGCATTCTGCCAACACACTGCATATCTGTGTGTCCCATTTGGTTATCACAATAAACTGTGACTCCTTCCCAAAATAACATTAAATGGCTGCTCTCTACTGTGGAGATGGAATGTGTTTCCTGTGAAGTAGGAACTGAATGCATATATGTTATTCAGATAAATTTCAGTCTTCAAAAGATTAATTTGCATTTCAGATTCCTGAAATTCTGAATGCGTGCAACTTTACCTAAATTTCTGCCTTTAATCGAGGTACTAATCTGGCACTTGCCCGGAGGGAATGAGGAAAGCCATGAAATGGCAGTCAGAATAGTGGGCATCCCAGCCAAGATCACAGCTGGGCATTTTGTGAATCAGGCCACACCAACCCCTTCTTACCTATTTTTATGGCTCATGAAAGCCTAAATGGAAAATTAGGTAATGTTTCCTGAGAGGAACACACAGTACTTACATTACATTGCATTGCACTGAACTGAATGGCATTTGCTGGATCCCGAGTTAGTCAAAATGACAGTAGAATGTGGAATATGTCATATAAATACAATAACATATGTACAGTATGACTGAAGTTTTCATACAAGAAAACACAGTGGTTACACATGAGGCTATTCAAAAATACATCCAACTTATGCTATTTACACAACCTTTAAATGGGAGAGTCACTTTTTATACAACAAATATTCATGAACAGAGTAGAATGAATGTTTAGGTATCATTTTAGTGCTGTTTTAAATAGTGGTTTCTCATTCATAAGACTTCCGAGATCCGATGGCAGAGTATTGAAGATCTTTATCCTATCTTTTATCTGAAAGCACAAAAGGTTAGCAGCTGGTTTATGGAGATAGCGCTTGTGTCTTGTTAACACTGTGTGCATCTGCAATGGTCTAAAAATGTTCTTTGTTCGATGTAATGAAGTTTATTAATGAAAATATATATTCACGTGGAAGAGTTAAGATCTCTCGTCTCTTAAATAGATCTTTTTTTTAAGAATTTTGGGATTTAACACCCATCATGAGTCTAACATTTTTCTTTTTCTGTCAAATGAATTACCCCACAAAAGTATACCATACTGCATTAAGGAGTGAAAGTAAGCAAAATAAATTGATTTGACAGTAAGTGTTGCTAATATGCAACACAGATCTAATTGCATAACATGCTACTCTTAGCTCAGGAAGCAACTGACAGATATCGTTTTTCCAGTTTAAATAATTTATCAACTTGTAAGCCATGAAATTTTCTGTTTACTGCCTCTTCTATATATTTATCATTCTATCCAATGTTTAATGGATACTGTGGTGAGTTTCCTGTTATACATTTTATTAAATTTTCTTTACCTAGATTTAGGGACAGCTTGTTAGCAGGACACCATTTACTCATTCGTGAGAGAACTTTGTTCAACAGTAAGAAAAATCATCTAAATTTTTACTATAAATTATGATATAAGTGTCACCAGCAAATATCACGGGCACTGATGGGAGTTTACTGTAGGAGGGAGGTCACTTATATAGATTAAGAAAAGCAAAGGCCATAAAATTGACCCCTGGGGAACTCCATGCAATATTCACTTTCAGGTTACATAAAAAGGTAGGTTCCACAGTACTGAGGATGGCAGCCAGACGTTAACTTGCTGGTAACAGTCTGTCATTACAACAGAACTGAATTTAATGTCAACAATGAAAGAACAGGCATTATTATACCAGTGTGTATTATGGACGATACAATATATCTCACCCTGATGTATGAATTGATTCTCTCTACAGATATGAAGCGAACTTCTGTCTCAGACACAAGCCTCGTGGTGTACTGGAAAACGCCACTGATATGTGCTGCGTATGCTAGGGCCAGACCTGCAAGAGCTGGGGGCACCTGTCCATGAAGTACAACAGTCAGGAAGGCTGTGATGCACATTGTTGCCACTGAGAACACCAAAAAATCACATGTTCTGAAGCCTCAAGTTTGTCTGAACAATATTCACAAGTCAAGTTCCTACTTCACAGAAATCACACTGAATCATCATTACAAAAACTAATCACTCCATGCTGTTTAAGGGAATAACCACTGTTTGCTGTGGGAATCATATACTACGCACAAATACACTGTGTGGGCAGAATGCAGAGGTTGTGAATGTTAAGGCAGGTAGTTACTGCTGTGCTCTGAAGGGTTAATTAAAGTATATATACCTAGCAATTCTGGTCATGGAGTTCACTTACTGCTAGCCACAGGCAACAGCCTGTCCATGTTTTCTGACCTGACCACTCTCAACATTAGGACTGTATGGAGTGTATGGGTTATAGCTGGGCAGTGGTTGCATTGTGTCCCCCCTCACCAACACAGCTGCAACCACTGCAACAAAATTTTGTCAAAATCCTTTCAGCAAATTTAAAAATAAACCATGTCGACCACAGACAGGTACAACTATCTCTACGTACCGTCTCTTTTGCACGTTAGGCAAAGCGAACACAAATGCAGGGACAGAGGGCGGATGATGACACCACAGGGAAGTCTCCATCATCCACAGCAGCAGTGCGGAGAAGTAGTGCAGATAATTGTAAACAATGGATAAAACCAAACAATCTGGAAATACTGTATCCACTACCCACACTGTATTCAACACTGAAAAGCCCTTGATCAGTAGAGACTTGTGTTACTGTCACCAAACATCCCTGCCAACAGAAGAGAGCAAGCCCTGCTCCATGGCAGCAGGTGACACAAAGAAAGTAAATAACTTAAACAATGAACTGGAAACTTGCAACAGGGTGGAAATATGTACAGTCTATCACAAAACATTGTACACACATCACTGATCACCAAAACAGGTGCGATGAACTTTAACTATATGGTTTCAAAAGTCTCACAGAGCAGATAATCCAGGGTCTACTGTTCTGAGTGTAAGAACAGTAAAGTGTGGTACTACCAAGCCAGTTTTGTTTTGTGGATGTTTGTTTTGCAGGAGATTTCACTTTGTTTTACTATGTTACAAGGGGCAAGGACGCCCCTTTAACTTCACTGCATTGATCACGTTAGAAAGAGCAACGGGTTGCATATGAAACTTGCTTAGAACATGTAGGGAACAATGGTAGACGTGTAAGACACCAACCATTGCCCTAACAGTGACACTGCTACCCTAAGTGTTAAAAAAATTAAGTTTAAAGATTCTTGATGACAGTGGGTTACATACATGGTTTGAACTGCTATTTTGGACTTTGTCCAGTGTCTGAATTTATTAAAACCACTATATTTCAGAAAATGGTTCTATTTCCACTTTCAACATACAAAAAAAAAATGCTTTGTTGAGCCCCTCAACAGTGACTCTCAAACTTCTGTTGAGTATGAGCTCAACACAGAGTAACTTTTTCTCATAGCCTGTTCATCTGAAGAAGGAAACAGAACCAACTTCCGAAATGTAATGGTTTCAATAACTCAGATGGTGGATGTAGTCCGAAATAATAATTAGCAACATCATCAGCAGACATGTTCTGCTGCCTGCTGGTATCACCTGCCAAAGTGTCAATCCTGACAGCCAGCCACCGCATTGCTATGCAGCACAGGTAGAGACAGGTTGTGTTTTCATCAAACATCTTCATAAATCTGCGAATATACATCAACAATCATAAGATCAAAATGAAAAAGAGTGGATTTAGACAAGTCTTTACCAGGCTTCTGGGACTCCTGTGAAGGTACATTCTTATATTTATTGTGATGTCAATGCACTGCCAGGCAACAGCTCAATAAACGCACCGCAATACGAGCACGCAACAACAGGATGAATGTTTATAGCTCGTTGCTAGGCAAGTCAGTGTGCCAATGGACTGGTGAGACAGCTATCACATGGCCTGTTTTCTGTGTGGTCTGCACTGCACAACAATAGAACTGTTTTCTGCGTTGTCCATGCCGTGGCTATATAACACGAGTCTGCTTGCAGCTTAGGAGAGTCCAGGAGCATTCAACAGTTGAGAGTATAAGGACAAGATTGGAGCGTGTCCTTGCTGAATTGTGAAGATTGAGTACAGATTAGGACAGGGGAGCAAAGAGTGATTGAAGACAAAATAACAAGAAGACTTCATAGTGGTTTGAAGTGCTAGTTTCTGTGTTGAGATCCGTTGCCACGAGACAACTAGTGAAGACAGAGAATCCTGGTGTGTGTGCAATGGTGAACTGTGAATTGTGTAAATCAGTGACAGAGCTGTATTAATTGTAATTAATGGAGAGAGTGTAACCAAAGTGCTAATAAATGCAATCATCTGAACTAGAACCTGTTATTTTTGTCACAGGTACCCTCCTACATGTGACGATATTTAATTTTAAAGTTGGTTTTCCTAATAATAAAGCACTAGTTCTGAATGACAGTTCCAAGATTCTCACAAACTGAGGATACACAAGACAAAATAAAAAAATCTGAAGAGTTAAAATGTAATTATATATCATTTCAGGCAATGAACTCCACCTGGTAGAGGTGTCTGGCAATATGGACTAGCAGTATCAATTGGGCCCAACTGAGTAGGTTTTACTTGAAGGCGGAGGTAGAATTCAGTCTCCGAAATGGTGTGTTTTGAAATATAAACAGGATGGCGCTTTTGCATAAAGACAGCACAATGGATAATGTTTGGAAACATAATATTTTTACTACTGTACCACTGTCACAAACTTTTATATCTTCTTTCGCTAATTTTCTTCACCTTGCCATGAAGTCACTCTGTTTTCCAAAGGCATGTATTGTGCTCAGTCCCTGGACAGTTGTGCCAACCCAACTGATGATGGGTGATCGAGACACGTTCTCCAGTCGCTTCAAGTCACGGACTGACACCCTGGAGCAACAGAGAACATAATTCAGGCATGCTGGCAGCATGTCTGTCCCCAAATGCATCCTAATCATCCAAGTTTGATAAAGGAATGCATAAAAACCTGACACCCAGCAACCAGCTGACAGTGTTTATGTATTGTTTTAGCAGTGTAATGAAATATCTTCTCAGTCAACTAGCATCAGTACCCTGCATTTCTGAGACTACCCCTGTCTCCTTCACCAGGAGTCACTGCATGTGACAAGTGGGGTGGCTGGACACTGACTGTACTTGTACCAACAGAATGCACCCTCGCCTGTCCCATGCATCTGTGGGTACAGTCAGGCAGCTGAAATCATGATTTATGCCGCTCAACCGCTCAGCACATTGATTCCTGATGATGACAGAAACAGAACACTAGACACTAGCTCCCATACTCACATGGCTGACAACCCAGGAACGCTTCACAGCATACAGTTGCCAGGGAAGCTTCAAACCATGTTTTGTCTGCATATAGAAGTTCAGTATGCTGAGGGCTTACCTAAAAACCTTACTGATGACATAATAGATGGCCGCAAGAACGAGCAATGGGATGATGAACCAAGGGAATGCCAAGCAAACAAACAGAATGGCAAAGAGAATGATCCACATATTCTGCATAATGCTCTCGACAGTGATGGGTAACCAGACATCAACTGGAAAGAACAGCACAATATCTCAAGTGCTTATCATATAAATATCACACTCAAAATTACAAGAAATTAAAATGAACCAAAGCCGACTACCTTCGTCCATATCACGAGAAAAAATATTCTGCATTCTTCCTGTAGGTGTAGTTTCAAAGAAGTGCATTGGACTATGCATCATTTTCTTAAACAGCTTGTTATGAAGATAGCTTGAGGCTCTTAGCGTCACCTAAAATAAACCATATTTAATGAAAAGTAGTGTTTGTTATTCTGAAGTTCTAGAACTGATCTTTCCATCTACTTCTGTGTCTTTGTGCATCTCTGTACTCTTTAAGATTATGAACATGTTGCTCCCATCTTGTGGGATCTGAGATTTTCACAGTGGTGAGTATTAAGATTTTGATTTCCTGGGGGGCAGGAAGCTGTGCCTGATGGCAATCCTGTTACGGATCTCACCTACAATACAGCAGCAACCTCCTCACCATGGAAACTTAATGACTTACAATCAACAGAGTTACAAAGAGAAAAACATCAGAATATTTAAGAACAACACCACCACGGAACCTACATATAAAGAAAAGCCAATAATCTTGAGAAATACTATAAGACACAAATACAGACACAGCAGTGAAATCAGAAACAGTTAACTGTAATGGAAGCTGTACTGTACCTTTGTAAACGTGAGCCCCCTCAGTAAGCTTGTTCCCAAGATCACAGGAATCGTGACAGCATACACCAGCTGGTACATCGGGAAGTCTGGATTGTCATTGATGTTGTGACTGGGCATGGTCTGATTGTTAACGAACACTGTGGCATTCTACAGTGTGGAAAAGAAAGAAATGTAGTATCTTCAGGGATGCGATCCTGCGTAGCGCAGTAGAAGTTCGCTGATGTTCCTCCTGAACGGTGGCAAACATCTACCAGATGACGCAGTGTCACAGTTTGGATGGCTGTACTCTTCAATCAACAACAGTCAATATAACACAATAATACTCTGTCATTTATGAATACAAATGTTGGAAAACTTCTTGTAAAAGCATGCTTTCAAGGAGAAGGATGAATCTCAGGAAGGGAGTCTGTAAAATACAAGCAGTGAACATCAAGTTTTAAGAAGTGCTGAGCAGTGCACTGACAAAGTGCAACTCAAGAGTGGGAAGAACTAAAGATTCATCTAGTGCAGGCATGTCAAATTCAACTTGTACAGAGGGCCACCTCAGCCCTATAAATAATAGTCCAGGGCTGCACTTCAAAATAAAAATATACATTAGATTTTGATACAAGGAAATTTAATTCTATTTATTATTTAGGAATAATTTCAATATAATTACCTAATTACCAATATAATTACTATAATTTGCCCACAAATCAAACATGCAATTTTACCTTCTATTTCACAACAGAAATAAGCAATTTCCCATTTTCCTTGAAACACACGGCGCTCACTTTCAATACTTATTTTTTTGCTACTTGAATTTTTTGAAAGCGACATTGCCCTTTAAAAGTTACTGTACATATACAAGAAAACTCATAGTTGATAATTTAATGTTTAATTATAACCTTTATACGTTCATCACAATGTAACATTACCACTTGTCGCTGTGTGAAAATGAACTGAATGACAATGTACAAGAGACTACTAGACTAGTAGGAAGGTGTATCTTGTCTCAATGGTCATAAAAGTTTGCTAGCAGCCCATTAGACAATGGCTGGGGTTGCAAGCTGGTTTTGAAGGTAGAAATCCCTTGCACTTGTCTGTCAGTTGCCACCCTCCTTGCATTCTTACTACGCCTCCAAAAGGGATTCTTGGAAATACTTAAGGTTGTGAGGCTGTGCAGATTTTAGTGCATTAACCTTCTGAAATACAATAGTTTGTCCTTCACGAACTTTACAAACCATTAGTTAGACAAACCCTTCTGCAATTCTCAGAATCACTTTTCCTGCAGCCTGCTAATTTATGTCTTCTGGTCTGTTGGAAAATTGTCTTTACAAAAAATAGTTCTATTAAAATTTTAATATTGATTTTAATATCAATTAGCTGTAAAAGTTGAGGGGCTGCACTTTGTGGCTATGGGGGCCGCATGTTTGACATGGCTGATCTAGTGTATGGGCTTATAAAAACGAAATATTTCTGTTTCCCACCTCCTACCTCACACCCAGTGATACAAAATTCACCACACACTCTCACCAATATGTACATGGTACATGTCAGCCACATCTGTTGAAGTGGTGTGTAGGCATTAGGGCAGAGTTTTGGGCGCGATTCAAATCCTCATTCCAACCTTTTTTAATTACATGAGTGAAATGTAATGCCTTCCCCACAGTTTTGGGTGCTACATACTGTGAAAATGATGACAAATGCAACCACATCCCAGCCAAGAAATAGGCACTTTCTAAAGTTTAATATATGAAAAGAAGGGGAGAACAGAAGAACAATTAACATGGCAGAACATAACTGATAATGACATTTTTCCAAAACATGCTCTTCTGTACAAAAGTTACAGCAGTCTTGACATCAGACAAGATTTCAGGCTAACCACAGACAGAAAAAAGAAGATATATCGGATGTCAATCTAATGGGTGCAAGTGCCACGAGAGTGATTACTTAGCACAGGCAACAGTCGGTCTGCACCAACATTGTGGTGCCATGTTTATTACTGCCGCTTAGAATTGTGATATCCACTATGGGCTACAATCAAAATGAAACACAATGCATAGCTACAAAGATACTGCCTCCATCTTCTGGTAAGAAGTACGCCATTCAGGGTAATGGGCTGTCATATCTGTATAACGGCTCTCTTCCTACTGTCCTGGAGCAACCATCCTGTTGGCTTGTCAACCACACCTCTTTTTCTCATTTGGGGATCTGTCCAGCCACACCTAACCCCAATGATGTATTTCCTTCCTCCCACTTCCATACGAGGGGCCACTTTCCTCGTGCGGCCCTCCTGTACCCAGCAGCACACTCCCAACACTACTCACTCATTACTTGTAGTGCTACTAATGGCTCTAACAGAGAGATGCACATGTTATGTATTACTCACACCACCACCTGCTCTGATCCATGAGGCCAGCCACCACGAACTGAAAGCAGTACTGCCAACATTCAGCAGAAAACAGAGACATGCAAGCAGTGCCATGTAGTATCCGCCCGCTGCAGAGATGTACCTCTGGTATGTATCAAACCGAATGCTCCCTTTCTGAATCATTTCAGGCACTGTCAGCTGTTCAGCTCCTGGAAAAAGAAGTAGAAAATGAAATTTACTGCAAGTAAGTAAAATGCTATGGCTGCTAGCACACTAACTGAAACAATGCTGATTCATCACGATGCTGCAAAGGCAGGCCCTCGGCTTCACTCAACTCTACTCATGCAGTATGGCAGAGGCACACAGCAACTGTACACTAACAATGGGTCTGTCGGTTGCAGCAACTTAACCGCCAGCCAGACTGGGCCTGACAGCCCACACCTTACAAAGAGCATGGGTTACACTTTACCTCTGGGATCCAGCTTCTCACTGCCTTGAGAGCTGGAACTGACACGCCTGTTCTTCTCACGGTCTGCAGCATCATGTCCCGGGTCAAAACTCTCTCCATCACCAACCAGGAGATGCTCCTCTTCAAGCACACATCTGTCACATAAATGTAGAAAGAATTATATGCAGTCCAATATTCTGAAGTCAGAAATTGTTACGCATGCTGGGTGACTGCATGGCGGTATGAAGGTCATGCCACAGTATGTCATCATCATTACACTTATAGTTCCTGAAACCCCTTCCTTCAGACAAGAACAGAACACACACACATTTCTAAGAGACACAAACTCAAAATGGCATTCTGAAAGACCTCTACCTAAATCTGTGTGATTATTATTAATCAGTCAACTAGCAAACAAACTAACAAGCCTCTTATGCAGTTAGTACTGGGTCTGCATATGTGCATCTTCAACTCATCTGGTGTTTGTTCCTTTGTCATTCTGACAACTCTACTACCAGATATTAAACTCCTTCTTACTAAGAACTGGTGTACTGAGCTTCGAGAATACAATGTACAATCCTTCAGTGTGATGCATACACCATGTCGCCACTGTCTACAGTGTCGTCTGGTGTAGCCTAACTACACCAGAAGACTCTCAGGATATCTCACCATGAGACTCTTGAGCCACTCATTTCTTTCCACATCTCCATCCTTCATCTCCAATCTTTCCTTCTTTCATCTCTTTCATATTTTTATCTATCTTCTCTCCTCCTTTCTGATGTCGTTTACTTTTTTCCCACCCTAATTTTGTTCCCCTCACCCTTCCTCCCCCACTCTCTATTATGTTAAAACAGTTCAGACAAACACTGCTGGCTGCTGACAACAACTTACAGAGTCTAAGTTCTCCCCTTGCATCCTGGTGCTACAGACAAGCATGACAGATGAGAGGTTTGTGTAGTGTGACATTGAGAGCAACAACTCACTGTGACTGGTCTCCTGTCTCAGAGCTGTGGGTCTTAACCATCACCGCATAATCCTGTTCCCTGTCCATCAGCTCCTCATGCGTTCCATGGTCACAGACACGGCCATCTTTCATCATGTACACTTGGTTACAGTGTTTCAGATACTGCAGAGGAAACACAAACTTAATTTTCCTTTATTTATAGAATAAGCAGAGGTGGCAAATGTCTGAATAGTATATGGATGCTTTCCTTGTTAGCATCACAATACATAGTAGCCACATTTTAAAACAAGGGGAAAACGTCCAAATTATAATTTACTCATGTTAAAAGAAGAAAAAAAAAAAAGACTGGCCATGAGAATTCAAATCACACCCATAAACTCGGCCACAACACTAGGACATTGCTCCGACAGCTGTGGCTACCATACGTATTGCCAAGAGTAGAGCAAGTTTCATAGCACCTTAATGTTCTCTGTCACGTCCACGGTAGGAAACAGGTCAGTTACATGTCTCTACATACTAAAGATAATGAAAAACCCTTTATGGAACTTCATGTACAGTGAAGTCTTGCCAAGGACCACTTCAAGGTTCCATCATTGTGTTCTGACTCCATATCAACAGCAAATTCATCATGTCAGATGAAGCAATTATAATCTGTGCTTGGAACAACTGAGGAAAAAAAACATAAAAATCTCAGACACAACAGCTGCTCTCCAGGCCAATAACTTGAACCCAGGACCTCCCAAATACAAAATAACAGCAGTAACCACTTCTCTCCATTTTCTTGGAGAAAATTGTGCCTTTCCACGGCAACATGCAAGACAGCAGGACAGCTGTGTGCCGCATTGACACATTGCTGTCCAAGCCACTGAAACTTTGTCATCAAAAATTATGACTTTAAATTTCTGTATGCCAGTATCATTGCAATTTTACAAAAATCCATTTAAGGTTTTCCTCAGTTTACTATTGAAATCCACTGCTCCCCAGAGAAGGGGAAGGTAGTTTCACTGTGGGAGGAGGGACTTCTGGTTTCTAAGAGGAAGAGGAAATAAAAGGGACTGCAGCACTGCACCTGCACATGGTGAGTAACAAGTATCACAGTTTTGTGCTTCAGAGCTTGAAGGATGCATCTGTTGAATATGTGAGCACCAACACGAGCGTCGACGGCACTCAGTGGATCGTCAAGCAAGTAGATGTCTCTGCAAATGGACACAAAGCAACATTTTAGAGGGCCATGCAAGGAGCAGTCAAGGGGGAGTAGTGCCACGAACTCTGCCTCCCAAGTTCTGATGAGAATGAGCAGCCACATTTACGTGCATGAAGTCTCTGCTTCTCCCCTCTACTTCCCACACTTAGAACATGAAGGGGGAAGGATGGGGGCACCATGCAAACTGTCTTTGTGCTGCCATTACAACAGATGTACTGCACCACATACAAGACATTTATAATTCAGAGAAGATGGCGTTAAAAATTTGTTAATACATTGGAAGAAAAATCATTAGAATGGTTCGACCATGTATAACAAATGGGTAGGTAGAGTACACTGTGAAGAGTATTAGAATTAAACATATGTCAAGCTTTATAAAACAGAAATTATCCCTCTCTTCCTCCCTGCTTTACAAATTTCCTGGAGTTTTTGGTCACCTCAGCTTGTCCTCAGTCGAAAACACACCACCACAAGTCAGTAAGAGGCTCAGAACACAGGAAGTAACAGGCCTGAGCAGGTGTCAAGCAGACAGGTTTGAAATGAGTGCCCATCAGATCTGTGGAAACTGACCCAGTGAAGTCACAAGAAGGGTAATGTGTGGGGGCAGAAATGTATTTTTCCTTCCCCAAAACAAAGGGAGGGGTACCACTCGAGTAAATCTGACATGTGTACCAGGGGCAATCAGTCATGCACTGACCTGTTGGCATACAGAGCTCTTGCCAGGGCCACACGCTGCTTCTGACCCCCTGACAAGTTTATCCCTCTCTCTCCTATCTCTGTCTCGTCACCTCCAGGCAGCATGTTTATGTCCTGGCTCAGTGAACACCGGTATATTGTTTCATAGTATCTGAAACAGTGTGGATGGCTTGGTGACTTTGTGGCAGAACCAAATCACTTTATATCTTGCAATTCTCCATGTGTGAATTGTCTTAATGTTCATTTCTTTAAATCTCAAACCTAACCAGCAGTACAAACATTGCACCATGCTAGCTCAGCCACATTTCCTTCCTATGTATTTTGGTAATCCACTGACACCTTTAAAAGTCACCCTACCTGTCTCTAGAAGCTGACAGCAACTCCCTGCAGTTGCAGTGTTGCCTTGTTTTTAGAGCTTTGCTGTTGTATATCTATCAATAAATGTATTCTTTGGTTAAGGGAAGATACAAAAAGCATAAGGTTGGCTTCAAAATGTTTTTAGTGATGTGGCACTCTTGTCTGAACAGGGCAGTAGTTCATCATGTCTCAATGTGTGATACGTTTATCAAAATTTGGTTAGTAAAATACAAACCATGCAAGCAGAAGTGATGAACTACAGCCACTACTACTCTTACCTTTTCGAGTCAAAACTTTCTCCAAAAAGGATGTTATTTCTCAGAGATGCATTGAGTATCCAGGGCTCCTGACTGACGTACGCACAAGAGCCGTCCCTCATAACCCGACCCGAGGACAGGTGCAGCTGCCCCAAGGCAGCCAGAAGCAATGCCGTCTTGCCAGATCCAACTTGACCACAGACACCGATCAGCTGTCCCTGCACAATACAGATGCAAATGGAACCTGACAGTACAAAGACTGCCGGAAAGCAAACCAGTGCAAGTGGTGCATGTACTACACATCAGTAGCCTCCATGTTATCAAACTTACTTTTGCAACCTGAAAGCTGATGTTGGTCAAGACATTTGCACTCTGATGCTCACTGCTCTCATATGGATTCAGCTTCTCCTTCTCCTGATCTGTTGCTGTGGTCCGTCCACTCATAGCTCCAAGTGCACTGCAGGCACCATCAACATAATGAGCAGGTATCACAAAGTGACGCTAAACATCATGATCAAGCTGGTTGCACTACTCTGCAGCACATTCACAAAGATTCAAACACAGCTTGGCAAACTGTTACCAACATTAAGGAGGAAGCTGCTGCCATTAGGCTCTGTAAATACTGACACTGAAGCTGCCTCCCTTCCTCTTACTTCCTTCATTGCCCCATTGTCTTCTCTGTGTCCTCACCTTCCCCTAATCAGATCCCCTCAGTATCATATCACTTCTTTCCTCTGTTTCTCCTGCCCTGTGTCCGCCTCCCGTTGCATCACTCATCCATCGATTCCACTCTGTCCAGAACATCTCTGGGGGTACACTGTACCTTGAACAGGCATGGAAGGAAAAGCCCTGCACACACAATAAGCCTGGCAGAGCAATTCCAGTTGCAAGCAGACTCTGGTGGTTCTCTAATGACACAATGACCTATGGTGTTTTAGATGCATTTATCATCACTCTGCGCTCAGAAAACAATTGTTTTACACACCAAATATTCTTTACACTGTTTCCCTTACTCCTATTGGTTTGCCCAGAACCCCGGTCCGTGCCATCCCTTGCCTTGCATCTGTACCGCACTTCTGCTTGCTTAGCTTAATAATGAAGGCAGCAGGATCCTCCAAAACATTGGTAACGATATATAAGAACACACAGTGTCGCATCCATTTTCACAGTGATCTCAGATCTCATGTGCACATGTGAACATCTGAGAATGTTACACAAAACCCCTGACCTGGCAATGGATACTGAAAGGAGAAACAAGGCAAAAGGCAAATAATATAGACGGAATGGGCACTGGAGGTAGAGAAGGCCAAGGTTCTTATAGGGCCATACCGCCAAGGTTCTAAGTAACATGTGAACATACCTTACATCACTCTTTTCTGTGGCAGCACTGGATCTACGCACAGCGACGGAGTCCCATGAGAATGTCCCCACACTAATACAGATGGCCTGAGTCCTGTCAATGGGACGCGTAATGTACGGAACAATGTCCTCCAGCAATAAGATGGCCTACCACCATAATAAAGTAATTACATTCCTACACTGCTTTGCCACACAATTTATTAAATTACTTTCAGACTTGCCAACTTAAAATTCAAGATCCTATCAACTGAAAGTATGAATAATTGCCTACATTACTTGTGGTACGAAATTAATTAAATACAGTTCTGGCAACTCAGTAATCATAATATAATTTCTGGTAAGTTTGTCTGAATGACAACATAAACAAATTTAATAATAAAGTTTTTACTGAGGAGCACAATTTTCTGGAATGTTAATGCCACGTAGTTTGGTAGAAGTTCAATGACATTTCAGAGAAAGAGCTGCAAACTGCGTGACATCCCAAAAAAATAATTATTACACTTTAAAGCATTATGAAGTGATATGATTAACATTTCAAAGCAAAGCAATTACAACACCCCCACCATGAAGCTGCCCTCAGCAAACTGTAAAACACTTGCACCCAACACAGGAAATGCTACCTCCACTCAATGAAAATACACAGCAGAAGGTCAGACAAGTCACACGGCCCGAGATCACTCCCAGTGGCATGTCATATTGACACCTTCTTGCACAGCACATAAGCAGACCTCAGTACTGAATATAAAGGGACTAACAGATATCTAACAATTTGAATGCTAATTTCAGCTCCCACCTCTCAGAAGACATACTGCACATAAAGTTTTCCTCTGCCTGCAGAGCATGCAGCAAGCATGGGAGCACAGAGAAATTGCACACAAAGTTTTGGTAGGAAAACCTGTATGGAAGAGACCACTTGGAAGACCTAGGCAGTGATGGGAGGGGGCAGACTGAATTCATCTTGCTCAGGACAGGAATTGATGGTGAACTCTTGTGAACATGGTAATGAACCTTTTGAGTTCTGTGACATCCTATGAATCTGCATGCATGAGACAGACACTTGTTAACAATTTTTTATATACATAACAGCACTATTTATATCAATGTTATTCTTTATTCTTGTTCTGCAAAAGGAAAAAATTGTGCATGTACGTGAAGCAGTGGGCACGACCAGCAAATGGGTCCCTACTTTTAGCCACAAACCCACTGTATGGAAAGCGAAAAGCACTCCAGGATTTTCAGAATTTCAAACTCCATGAAAAACAGAACAAATTATATATACAAAATAACCTACAAGGTCCACAGATTTCTGCAAGTACATACAGTGGAACAGTTCACAGACCACAATCTGAACAGAACAGACAGAAGTTCGACAAGAAGTCACCTGCACAGTATGCTTCAATACAAAGTAACGAAAACCCTCATTGGGAGCATAAGCTACCTGCAGTCTGCTGAAGGACACCAGTCCTTGATACACATTTTGAGTCCCAATTTGCAAAATGTTGAATGAGTTCCGTATCTGAGTGTTGAGGAGAGAAACCACAGGGAATGCCTGAAATAGTTCTCAATAAGTGAAATTGCACCGCAAATATTTCTAACAAAATTAAAATTACGCTCACTGATTTACTGAAATACATGAAATTGTGCAACCGAAGTTCTGCATCATGATGGCATGGAGGTTACACACACGTTCTAGACGTTCGCACTGGACGGCGTTTTCGGCTTCACAGTCACTTCACCCCTGCAGGAAAAGCCTCCAGTTATCTGCTGGAGAGGAGGCTGGGTGCCCAGGAAGCCGGTCTGGGTGCTGAGGAACCTGCACCCATTGTATGGCCAATGATGCACCAACACAAGCACCTGTGCATGCAGTACTGACATGTTGTCTGACACAGTTCACAAACCAATTTCTTGCTGACATCTACAGACATCACACACTCCATTGTACAAATGAAACAACCCCATGGGGTGTGCTGTTTCTGAGAAGACAGTAATTCTATTATCAAAAATTAATTTACAAACCAATATGTCTCCACATGTCTCTGGGGAAAAGGGGGCTGTTACTTAATGATGCTGTTAGTATCCAAACCATACGATGTGCGATGAATTGGAAGGGATTTAGAACAAAGAACTCATGGGCATGATCAGGGCACTATCCTGCATTTTTGAGGGACTGAGGAAAACCATGAAAGAGATCAAGAATAGCAGACACTTCGGCTGAGATTCAAACCGAGACCTCCCCAGATGCAAGTCAAGAATGTTAAAGGCACACTCATCCGGTTTGATTTTGCTTATTCCAATTTGTACACCACAGTACAATTCATGTAATCACTCAAATGATGCCACAAAGAGATGGGAACCTCCTCATTACAGAATTGTCTCTAACCCAAGCGTACTTATCTCTCTTCGGTTTTGGTGATCTCTTGAGCACCTCAAAATATATAGGTCAAAAAATCCAGTTTTCCAGCTAACAGAAAGAAGTGACTCATGGCCAAATTTTCGGATGCGTAACTTGGGCTTAGTTTAGTTGCATCACATGTTGAAGCCCTCCTAACGGTCTGGCGCACACAGCAGTCAGCATCCTCAGGTGAAGTGGTTCAATATGTATACCTCACACTGCAGTTGCAAGGGGAGGGGGCTGAGTATTTGGAGTGCTTCCATATGACAACAGGACAGGACAGTGAGTGTTGCTGCAGGCTCTCTAATGTTGTGTATCCAACGAAATTGGATATTTCTGAACAAAGAGTAATATTTACTGTTGGCCTGGGAATCTGGCTAACAAATCCATGTGCTGTAAGAAGGGCTTAATGACAAAAATAAAAAATTACTACAAAGGACACAAATTGATCTACAAGAAAACGAAATTTAATTACTTTCAACATTACGTCTGGGTTCTGAGTGTGTCATTATATAAGAAGAGAACTTGAGCCCTCTTTAACACTTGAAAGAGACAAAAATTTGTGTGCATGCTGTAGGTAAGGTAAAGGTAAAGTTGTCCCTGTGCTTAACTAATTAAGCACTACATACAATATGAAGCTGTAAGGGGGAGTGCATGTACAGGTCCATGTATTGTCAACCTCACTACAATCTATCTATGGCTTGGCCACTTTTCAGATTCTTAATCCTACACACAGTCAGTAGGACTCCTTGGATGTGGGATCAGCCCACCACAAGGCCTCCACCTATACACAGAACAACACAAACACAGAATAAATGCACACAGACATCCATGCCTCGAGTGGGATTCTAACCCACGACCCCAATGTTCCAAGCGGGTGAAGACAGTTCATGCCTTAGGCCAAATGGCTACTGTGATTGGCAACCTCACCACTAGTTGGTGAATATTGTTGGTACACATTAAAACTGACAGAAACTTAAGCGCCTTTATCTAGCAAGCCAAGCATGAGAAGTTAACAACATATCACCATCAGCACACCACCCCAATCTACTTTGCACTTTGATCATGCAAGAATTAAACTACAACGTGTAAGAAAGATCAAACAGAGGCACCTTTATCCTTGCAAGTGCCACAATGGCATCGCACACAGATCTGGTACTCTGTCGTAGCCTGCTCAATGCATCTTTCATTTGATTGCTAAGAAAGGGTACCAAGGAAAATGCCTGAAAAACAGAATCATGAGATTACAGCCTTTTGCATTGTGAATGCTATCTCCAGGTCAGCCTGATGATGCAAGATATTCCTCCAGAACATCGGTATCTACCAGAGCATATGACATCACATCTCAGAAGGCCAAGATCTTAATATTTACTGTCGATAAAACTTGAATAACTGTGAGAGCTCTGAAGTACTCTAGCATGGAAACCACTGTACCACAGGCAGACAATAAATTCAGGCATGGTGTAATAAAGAGCATGGACCTCCTCCAATTGTTACACTGAGAACAGTCCTTCCACACATACAGAGCATATTCACAGTGTCAAATACAAATGATCAAGAGCTGAAACAGACTGAAACATTCCAACTTCATTTTCTGCTGCTCCATCTTAATGCAGTGCATGCAACCCGATCAACTATGTTGCTCTCTAAAAGATCCGCCACAGTTTGCTACACTGCAGTTCTGTTGGACACTGCCACTGTACATTTATTTAATTCTACTTTTTCAACTACACATGTTATCAGTGTCACAGAGTATGATAACTGTAAATGGTGGATTGCGAAGGGTCTGGATAGAGATGGTTACATCCTTCTCAGCCCTAACAGGGCTGAGAAGGGCGTGAAAACCTTGGTCAGGATAGCCAACTTATATTAAGATCAAGAATTTGGGACCGCCCAAACAGAAACCAGTAGGACTAACCACTGCCACCTGTCTAAGGTGCACATAAAGCAAGCAATGCTCGGGACCCGGCTCTGCTGCGATTGCCAGATGACTCTTACATCAGCACACATCTGTTTTCTCACATTGTAGTCAAACCCAGGGCCCACTGACTACCAAATTCTATCCGATGCAATCACTGCACAGAGACATAACTGGTGTTTATTTACATTTCATTAATAAACAGCAGCTAATTTTAAAATGTTTCAAATAAATGCTGGAGGTTTGAATGAACTGCTTATTTTATGTCCTGTTCTAATCTTATGTATACTAAACAATATTTAAAAAAGAACTTGATTTATTTTAACTTTCATGAGAAGTAAGGGCCATACCACACTGATACAGTCCAAACTGAAATTCAAATTGTGATTTTTAAGTGAGGTTCCTCAGTCTCAAATTCCATCAAAATTCATTGCACTGTTTTGGAGGTGAAATATGTGGATGAATGGAACCTGCATTAACTAACATTACATGTTCTGTCTATCCTGTGCAGAAGAAGACTAAGGCATTGGCATACTATTTACTCATAAGCCCAAGTGGTAGAGTGGAGAAGCAACTCTAGCCAGCTGCAAATTAACAGTGCTCACAGAACCTGAAACCTTCAAACAGTAAACAACGTCGGTCCTAGAACAAGGCAACTCAGCCATCTTGTGTCAGTATGAATGCCATGTAAGCCTGTTTAGTCAAACATGTGAACACGGAGAAAGCCAGAAGACAACTGCTGTGAAGTAGACATGATCACTAATTATTATTAGGTTTTATGGAATTTGTGCACCATCAAGTGCTTCAAAGAGATTTCGACTGTTCTGGATAATAAAGTTCTCTCTGTCCTCAGGTGAAAAGATGAATAGCCTGCCTGTAGGAAACTCATCTGACTGAAAATTAAATTGACCATATCAGGTACACTAAAGGGGGACAGTGTGACTGTTGCCAATCTGTCATGCATCCACTTTTTAAGATTTAGGCCTGCATGTCAAATGAAACACCCAGCACCTTGCTTAACAGAGCCCTTCCCAAAGTCACTCCATTTCACGAAGTGAATTCCCTTCCCAGGGGCAAGATCCAGATCCAGCTCAGGATACATGGTGTCCCATCCACAGTTCCAGATCAAACACGTGTCCCTTCAAGCGACAGTAGTGTGCTACTGACAGTCCTCTCACTAGTGTCAACTGGTTTCCATTGAACTTGAACAGTTTTCTTTTGGCAGAGAGTTCCTGTGTGCATGTGAACTGCAACACTCTCTGACCCTGAAGGCTCACTCAGTAACAAATTCTGAGGTGCCACAGAGAGCTTGAGGTCCTATAAACAGACGTTCACGACATGATTTTGCCGAATGACTGATGATTTCATTCTCTTAAATTCCTTTATGCACTGACATCCATGTCAGTTGCACAGGCATATTCTGCTAGCTTCACTGAGTGGCACTAGCATAAGCTTGTGTGCAACTCTGCATGACTGCCAAACACAAAAGAAGATAATTAATGCATACATCAGTGTCAATAGTCAGACAGACATGAACAGGAAGGATCACAACTCTTAACAAGAAATACGGACTTCCCCTTTCACGTGCCCTGCCCTCCATTACAATGGATAATCAACAATGAACTGTCTACTTTGTGGAATTCCAGTTATGGCCATACAGTCTGACAGGTGGGTTGGTGCCAGCAGTTCAGAGGAACTCTGCCCTACATGAAGCCAACATACCTCAGCCAGTACAGCGACTGGGGAGACTGGACAGCCAAGGAATAGCCAGGTTTTGACTCCTGGCACAGGCATGGTATTTTTCTCTCTCTCTCTCTCTCTCTTTCACCTTGCCCAGACAAGCTGCAGCACCCTCCGAGCCTGCTATCCACCAGGGGTTCTCTTTCCAGGAGGCAGAGCCGTCAGTATATAAGCTGACCACACACCTCCATCCAGTACAGTGGTCAAGAGAATGTGTGTGGAGCTATACTTCCATTAGCCTGTGTATCTTCAAGGCATGGCGCTTAATTAAGAACAGCAACAACTGTCCCTCTCCCCTCCAAATCCAGACCATGTATCCTGAAGATGGATCAACACATTCCCCTGCAACATCCGCGCCTACCTACCAGAGCACACAGTACTGTACACCAGAAGGCCATAACATGGATGGTAACATTCTGGAGTGTAGTGACTAAGGCAATTGTAAATATACAGAGATACAATATCTGGAAGTTAGGGCCCTGAAACAGCACACAAAATAGAAAGTACTGGGGCTGGAAATGGCCCTTCAGAACTAGGCAAACACTCCAACTCAGCAGAAAATCCTGGGGGAATTACAATGCACATAACATTAACGAAACCATTACAATGAAGGTTTGTGAATTTGTTTCCATGCGTATTGCTCAAGACACTGGAAATAGACTCCTCAGAGAGGCTAAGCTTACGCAGAGAATAGCTTCCTAAACAAAAGCTTTGCCTGCTTCTACTGCCACTTCCAGCCCTCGAAATCATACAATAAAGTGAAAAAATAACTTGTGTGTTGATCATGCTGAAAGGTGCCACACATTGTGAAGAAATTCTAAAACAGGAGCAACAAAAGAAAGTTAAAAGCAGATCACCGCACACCGTGTGAATACCCAAGGAATCAGATAGCAACAATCTGAAAAACCTGTAATCTAAGCACTGCTTTTCGCCCTGAACAGATCTTCAACCCGAACTCACAGCCGAGATGGAGAAGCGGCTGCATATGGCGCATCATATATGCAATCAGTGAAAATGCCTGCAAAAAGGAACATCAGTTATCTACTGTGATGATCCTCACACTTATGGGGTTTTGGACTTTTTCCATCGTCCTACAGTCTAGAGACTAGAAAACACAATGTTTCAGAAACTGGATCTGTTTCCATCCTCAGGTGAAGGGGAAACCTCGACTAGAATACCGGATGATGGAACAGGTCCAAAAACCCAGTAATTCTGACTGTTATACACCATCGTCAGAACCCTTTAGAGTCTACTGTGACGATGTCTCACAGTGAACACGAAACATTACCTGACTACACCTGCCCCTCAACGCTGAACTTGTAACATATTCGTTTTTTCAGGTTCAGAACTTTGAAGCCTGAAACTCATGTAGATAATATTTAAAAATTGTTCTTACAGTAATGAAAACACATTGCATCTCAATTATAAAGTTCACCCAGTTATTGCTGTGTAGAGAAAAAACATAGAAATACACTTGTGTGGGCAAAACACAGAGTTTCTGTACATTAAAGCAGGTGGTACATACAATTACCACTGGCCATAAAGGATAAACTTCATCATTACCTTATGCTAAAAAACCACTCCATTTAAATGTTTTACAAACTGTTTTGGTTATGTTAAATGTACCACAAAATGCTCAATATTATTGAACTTTAACCAATCAGCACAGCCAAGATGGAAAGGTTATGAACTATCACATCATGCCTGTAAACAAGCAACCAGACGCACTACAGGCATATACACTATACAAGTCATTCAAAGCATGAGACTGGTGTAAGGAGAAAAGCCGGGAATACTACAGTCATGACAGCAGCCACAAACATGCTTGACATGCAGTGGGCCTGCCACATTACGCAGAACTTTTTGCCATGTAACAGTAAAGGCGCAGAAAATTACAGCAACACTTTAGAGTTTTATGTTTACAATTTTAATGCCATACATCAATCTCCAAGATTTATGTGTACTGAGTTGTCTCAGGGTAAGTCAGTGTACCCTCACTCCGGCAGTCCCAAGTCCAATGCCCAATCAAATTTAGGTGCAGATTTTCCACTCGCAGACTGATGCCTTCATCACTACAAAACACACAATTTCAGGAATGTGACAATACCATGTGCCCCTTCTCATGATTCAATGACCACATTAACCTCTGCCAGACAACCCTCTCATGACCATTCCATCACTGGGGGCAAGAGTTCATGCAAGGGCGCCCACTCTCAGACAGCTTCTCATCCCTTACTACTGCCGACGTCTTGCTAATTATACTCACAGGAAGTGAATGACAAATGAGCTCAATCACATGTGTGACATATAAGGCCCCTCACAGAAACACATCCTGCATTCCCACACAGTGGAACCTCCATTCCATGTTCTGCAATTTAAGATTTTCCTCCATTCAGTGGTCAAAGTAATCCCAGTTTTATAAATTTCCCTAACTTCCATCCCTTCCCCTAACAGGGCAACCTGCACAAAACAATCAAATTATGAAATCTGGCTGGCAGTGCTTCACACAGGATTCACAGGCCTAACAAATGGGAACCATGCAGAAATGTGTTCAGTCCTGTCTTACAAATGCTGAACCAAACATGAGACTAGATACAGGAGCTGTAACTGAAATTGTAATGAAGAAACACAGACATGCAGAATTCATTACATGAGTCAACAGAAAGCTCACCTCAATGCTACCACTGAAGGCAGACGGATACCGAGAATCTTTCAGGAAAATATTGTTCTAGAAAGAACAGGCTGGAGCACAATTCCATATAGAAAAATTTTCTGGAAGGAAGAGAAAGAAGCTGGTGGCCTGCAAGTGAAGCTTGTCATAACACTGAGTGCATTCCTACCTGGTTGACAGGTGCCAACATTTTAGACAAACCTCATGCCTCCACGCTCATGGTACAAGTAGAACCAGGCAGGAGTCAGCAGGTTCATTTGGGATATTGGCACCTCTCTACAACACTGTATGGTGTGATACTCCAGAGAATTAATTCTAGTCATTAGTTGTAATCAGAAAATGGGGGGACCCTGATGATTTGATGCTGCAAGATACAATGTGATGCAGTATGTAGCCAGCATACTAAACGCAGCCAATACAGTGGCCACACAGCAGCTCTGTAACTCCTAAGGCATGTAGAAATTGCAATAAAACCAGTTACAGTGAAATGTGAAGTTGGTCACATTTTTATGGAACTGGAAAAACTATATTAATTTACACAAGACCAACAACCTTTAACTTGGCCACCTACCTAACCTGTAACCACCATACAACTTATTGGATTTCATGCTACAGTTCTGTCTACATTGGCCACAAAAAAGAAAAATTACTGATTTACCAGATCTTTCCCTTCCCTGAGATCAACAACTCTCATTAAATTTTGATAAAACCCATTACATATCATTCACAACTAAAAACAACCACCAAATTGATCTGGACATCAGTTATGCCAACAAATTAATCTGTAAAGTACTTGATACAGAATTCCTTGGAATACATGTAGACAGTACACTGTCTTGGAAAATACATATTGAACAAATTATACCTAAATTAAATGCAGCTTGCTATGCGATGAGATCAATTAAGCCTTTTATGTCACAGGAAACACTGAAGATGGTTTACCATGCCTACTTTCATTCTATTATGAACTATGGATTAATATTTTGGGGGAACTCTTCACATAGTGTAATAATTTTTAAAATACAAAAGAATATAATTAGAATCATTACAGGATGTAGAAGTAGAGATTCATGTAGAGAATTATTTAAGAAATTAAAAATTCTACCTCTTCAATCACAATACATATTATCGCTTCTCTTATTTGTTGTTTACAACAAAGATAAATTCAAATTAAATTCTGATGTCTATAACATGAATACTAGACAAAAATATAACTTCCACCTACCCTCATCAACTTTATCAGTATATCAAAAAGGAGTCTACTTTACTGGCATAAAAGTGTTCAACAATCTGCCACAAAGTATTAAAAACTTGGGCAATGATACTAAAAAGTTTAAATCAGAGTTAAAGAATTATCTACATGCTCATTCCTTCTACTCTTTAGATGAATACTTGAATGTAAATAGAGAATGACGTAAAATTAAGTTATATTAATTTTTAAGCTAAAATTGCCTGTACTTATGTATGTAACCTTTTGACTTGTTCTGTATCCAAAGGTACTAACCTGCTTAGGATTTATAGAATGTAAATAAATTCAATTCAAATTCAATTCAACAGACACACTACACTGCGGGAGCAATACCTGAGCTGCAGTAAGGCTGTTGCCAGCACCAACGTGAGCCAGGAACGTGATGATTGCCGAGATGACAGGAACAGTCGGTGCCATAGAAATGCTCAGACTCTGGCAGTATGCTGTCTTCTGCAGGTAGTCATGTTCCTTCTTCCTGACCTCTACAATGACAGCAGACATTAATATAGCCTGACGAACTCTGGATGTATTTTTAAGGTCTTGCTTCTCTTCAAGATCACAAGCCCACATATCTCTGTTGCTACAGTGACTGGTTATGGGCTGGACAGCCTAAGAATCAGAATTTGATTTCTGGCAGGTGCAAGACACTTCCATATTTTTCACAGCAATGAAACCAGCTCTGAGGTCTACGCTACACAACCTCCTATCAAATAGGAACTAGGGTTCTTTCCCCAGGAGCAGAGAGCCTGGAACACAAAGCTAGCTGACCACTCACCTTTGACTCCACAGATCTGTATATCTGCTCCTCCATGTGTTCCCATAGTGCAGGGCTTAATTAATTAAACGCATGGACAATTTGCAACTGTTAGCAGTATTAAAATATAAAGTCTGTGGTTCTAAATGTGATGAGTACTCAAACTGCATTCTTCTGTGATTCTGTATAGTCTGGTACTTGGAAATCAACATTTTACATTACATTACATTCCATGGATCCAAAGTTAGTCAAAATGACTGTAGGATGTGGAATATGTCATATAAATACAAAACATATGTACAGTCCCAATGGAGTTCTCACACAAGAGAAACCTAAAATACACCCATATAACTTGGCCATATCTAACCACCACCCACTACAATCCTGAAGATGGAGGCAGTATGTTGCTCCAAAATGCTCATATCCAACAACCAGACTGCAGTGTCATAACTCAGAAGGCTGCACACAATCTAAAAAGCACAAGAGTTTGAATGAGAAGGACAGGTGTTCTCATGGCACAACATTACACCCTTGTTCAGAGGGTTCTGAGTTTGTCTACTGGTCAGATCCAGACACATGGTCCTCTGCTCACAGGCCGACATTCTCACATGCATCAGAGACAAAACATTGAGAATGTGGAAACCAGCCCCCCTCCCCAACATGGTTCAGGGCCCATGTGAAGTGGTACGTGCCCTCTGCCGGCAACAATTCTACAATTGAGACAGCAATATCTGCCATGGGTTCCCAGATGCAGGTGCCAGGCTAACAGAAGCAGCTGACACAATGGACCACGCCATCCATGTTCACTCTCACAACACAATGCGGTGATCATCAGGACACAGCAGGCATCCACTGTGCTACATGTTGTAGCCAGTGCAAATCACAGTAAGGCTGTGTGAGCCAGTCATGTCTTCAAAATTAAATACTATTTGATACAAAGCTGTTCACATGCTGCTTCTCCTGACTTGGCTGATGACAATCCAAAATTGTTCAGTTTGAGGCACACAGCACCAATCAATCTACCAAAACAACTGAACTCAGGATAGAATTTACCAGTAAGGAAAACACAGCACTGAAGAACAGTATGCACATAGCATTCTACCAAAGTTTGCAACTATGTACAAGTGAGTTGCTGGCAATGCAACACAGTTTATATGAACAATTTGCAACGAAACGGAACCTACATTTGGAACACACCTCAGCATACAGTCATTCTCTCAGTGAACAACATACAAGTTTTAGAATGAAGCAATGCCAAAGCATCTGCCACCTCAGAGGTCTGAATAACCACCAAACAGAACTGGTGAAGATTACAATTTAAAATAAATGTGATGGCACACTGGTAACACTCTTGGCTCATGTTTCATTTGAATCTCAACCAGTACATCAAGGACACTGCCAAATGAGTTTTCATGATTTTCCTCAGTCCCTCAAGACAAATGCAACAACAGTACCTCTATCAGGCCACAACCGCTTCCTTCCAAATCACCATCCTACCATCCAATGCAGTAGAACCTAGCTACTAACAGCACTGCAAAATACTGCCCCCCCCAAAAAAAAGAATTTTGAAATATATAATCAGTAAAAAAATTTCCAACAGAAGGGTAGACAGACATAGGAAACATACAATGCCCAGCAAAACCGATCGCTCCTTGTGTAAACTGGTCTAAAATTAAGGCAATCTGCAGCCCTGAACACTTACAAGACATGCTGTGTTGCATATGGCAAGTCCCAAACTCCAGTCTCAGCTCAGAGACAAGCTATCTGCACAAAAATCTGTTTATGGTTTTCTCTGTCCCTACAAGCAAATACTCATGTACCTCAAATTAGGCCACAACCACTTCCTTCCACATCCTTTAAAATTCATTATTCACTAATCGATGTACCACTGAATGCTACATGGCCTGAGATTGTTAAATAAATCAAAGCAAATAGAGTCGAGACTTACGCAATATGGCTTTGGCAAAGCATTTCTCCCAGGCATACATTTTAACAAACTTGATGGAACTGAGAATCTCTGTGATCAGTCGCACTCGCTGGTCAGAGACAGTCACTGTCTTGCCCCTCAAGTAGCCCATCAGTCGTGACAAGCCATACTGCAAACAAGACAACAAGATATCAGGTTTCCATAGCAGCAACTGTGGTCATCTGTGCCGTGACACCATGTACCTTGATTCAGAGGCTTCTCATCACTTAGCTGGTCATTAGCAATGCTGTCGGAATCAGGACAATACAGCACTGATGACAGGATGATTAACGAGTATGTAGCAGCTGTGGAAAGAAATTGGCAGGGGAAACTTTGAAGACGAGCTCAGAGGAGCCACTCTGTCCATCACAAACCCCACATAACCTAAGCTGAGATCAAACTGTCCTAGCATTTGGCTGCCAGGACCACAAGAAACAGCCAGTACAGTCAGTGTCTCAGCTCAGATTTGAACCTGACAAAGACACATGCAGGGTACTTACTACCATTAGACAAATCTGTTTGGTGAAACTGTGTGAAGGAAAATGCTTCCATCAACCTTCAGGGAACCTTGAAGGTGGAAACTGTACATCCCTCTGAAACACTGGTAACTGTCTACTGGAGTACAACATGGCGTCACATCTCAGAAGATCATGCTATACATAAACATTTATATTTGCAAGGATAAAACATCACATCAGTGTCTTAACTGTGCCTTATGGACAGCAAGAACGTCTTACCTGGGCTGGGTAAAACAGAAGGAACGTTGTCATTCCAAGGAGAGCCCATGGTCCAAGCAGCCAAAGTATATAGAACACACCAAGCACTGTGACAACAGGGCCTCCAACAATCATTGGTCCAAAGAGAACCATATCGAAGACACGCTGTCCATCACTTGAAAACAAGTTAATTAACTGAAACAAAATACTGAAATTAGTAATGCTTAGCAGACATAATATGGCTTCCTGTACTTCAGCTTTCAATGCTTAGCACCTCTGGCTGGTTCTAATTCAGAATTAACTTTTTGACACTTGGCAGGGCTCCTTTCACAGGAGACTCGTCCATCTAGATCACAGAGCACCCACAGTAAAATATAATACCACTTGCTGTATGGCATACTGACTATGTGCCCTAACAGCATGACACTCATACTAGATTTCATCAAAATCTGTCCAGCTGCTCTCAATGCAGGCAGACACACAATAGACATGCCCTCCTCGGCAGATTAACTCAGGAATGCATCAGTGGCAGGCTTCAGTACAGGAAGCAATGAACCTTTGAGTGCTGTTACAAGAGTTTTAGTTAAGTGGTAAGATGGGTCTTAGAAGAATAGGTTTTGATGCTGGGAGGTGGAAGGAACTGGCTCAGGATCATGTCCAGTTGCAGGCTTTGGTGTTAATGTTGTTGAACCTTTGGGTTCTAACAGCAAAAAGAGAGAGACAAACACTTATATAAACAAACAGCATACTTACTCCTCCAGATTTTGCACCGAGGCTATTGAGTCGGACCACCTTCCTGTACAACATGGCGAGACAAGCTGAGCGCAACCTTATCGCAGTCCTGCATCAACAAAAACAATCTAATCACTGTCACTTAACTGAAGAAAGAACACAAAGCAGTAATCTACATCACAGTAAACAAAGGTAGGGGCAGGATACACACATTTCAGTGCTCTAAACATGATTTTGAACCTGCTACCCATACTGAAGTGCACCTCAGCATATACCTCTTTCGTACAGCTCCAGAATCATTTTCTTTGGTATCTATCATCAGGATAGTTACAAGCATTACCATGATTAAAATTCCTTTCGGTTACTGCTGTTTCTGCAATTCAGTAGCAGTGTTAAGCCAATTCATGTATCTATGTTACTACTACTGATTATAAAAAATTAAGAAGCAGAGATTTGGATTTGACCCCCCATTAACACAACATCTCTATCAACAATCTGTCTAAATCCTCCTGGCAGTCCTTTAGCTGAAACAAATGGACAGACTGACATTACTACCCATATATGTGCACTATGGTTGCACTTTATGCAGAGAAGATAAAAGATTAGAACTCTGAGAGCTGAACAGAGGCAAATATTCTGCACTACACTCTCCAACAAAGAACAGCCTATCTGACCTTTCAGGAACTGATATGAGCATTTCACAGACTGACAAAGTCCTCTTTCAGAATTACTGTTACCTGTAGTTCAGTGCCCAGTTCCAAGAAAATAAGATGACTCGCAGAAACTCGGCAAGTGTGAGACATAGTGCCCATGTCACGCCCATCATGACATCGCCATTCTCATCCTCTGCGTACTCCAGTAGCTTCCGCATGAAGATTGTCTGTATACCAAAATTTCAGAGCAATAACAACAAAGGGCAGAGTGACTGGTGCCAAGTGAGGGAAGAAGAAACATTTAAATAATCCTGGACTCAAAAACGGTCACCATTTTCAATATAACATCTGTCATGAACATGGGAATATCAACTGAAATCTCTCCACCACACAGACAGTGACAACAAAACTTGGACTTACCACTATGGTTACAACCAATGACATCCGCAGTCCCCGATCTCACATTTGTGCACAAACATCACAGCACTCCCGCCTCATATTCAAGAGGCCTTGGGTTTAAATCTCAGCCATTTTCCTCAGTTTCTCCAGGCAAATGCTGGGAGTAGTTCCTCAAATTACGTCACAACTGCTTCCTTCCACATCCTTTCCAATTCATTCCTTAATCACCCTATAGTCTGAACTACTAACAGCACAGTTAAGTGTGCCATCTCTGGGTGTCTATAAACATGGTCAGGAGACACTAATTCCAGTCACATGCAACACAGTCAGTGAGCTGCATGTGATGGGTTCCTTAGTGGACAACAGAACCAGTGTTATGCATGTCTGGAAGCTCATGATTTTGAGGGACTGGAATAAATGGCTCTCTGGTCAGATTCTAATGAACGTCCCTCACTGGAAAGCAATACTTAGTCATTAACAGAGGGCAACCTACCGAACTAACAAATCCCAGTGCAAGGCTCAACAAGAACACTATGCTGGACACAATGACGCGGGTCCTGATAAACCTCCAAACTGCAGAACCAAACGAAGCCCTCTTTGGTCCTTTATGACTGACTTCCTCCTGCCACAGCAATTCAAGCCTGAATTGAAACAAAGCATCATTCATCAGATTTTAAGTTCATACAGAGAGTGTGACACTGTGCACTCTGGTAGACACTTTACCAGTGTTTCAGCTGAACAGGCTGCCTCTGTCTTCAGAGTACAACATACAATACAGTAAAAAACTACCAGATTACATGGTGTGACATCCCAGTCTTCCAAAGAAGCACAACATTAATTTGCTTAGTGGGGGGTGGAGTCCAACTGGGTCCACTCGGCACGGCGGCCACTGATTGGCCTATTGTAGCCTGCCACGGGTGATTATGATGGGGAATTTGGTGGAATGAAGATTGGCAGGGGAAATCAAGTACTTGGAGAAAACCTGCCCCAGCACCACTTTGTCCACCACAAATCCCACTTGACCAGACCCGGGATTGAACCCGGGCCACCGCAGTGGCAAGCCAGCGACTAACCGCTTGAGCTATGGCGTGGCCTGAGCACAACATTACAAAATACTTATTTGCAAAAGCAAGAATTGGTGTTACAAATCATTGATTGCTCTCTTTCAACACATTATACTTCACACAGAGCAAAATAAATTAATTCTAATGGTTCAGTACAGTTAGTACAGCTGAATTTCTGAATATCTATACTATACAATCTGAGTTATCATCAGTCTTGTTAAATAAGGTACACGTAAAAATCTGGGGACATTCTTTCTCAGCTGGATCATCAAGTGAGATTAGCTCTTTCTTACAAACCCCATTTAGTAGGTGCCTTACCCCTTTTCACACAAGGACAAAACAGTAAAACAACATTTGCCAATTCTCATACACCATGACTTCTTAAAAAGACTGGTCAGCAAATGCAACTTTCATCACAAAAGGTGACAGGCTTTTCGCTATAAACTCCTGGTGACTTGTTTCGGCTGCACCGCACCCATTCACAAATTCCAACATTTCAAACTTCTTTACATTCCAAATCCATCGTTGAAATTCAAATGTCATTCCTGCATAATCGACATCCACCACCTCTGCACAACACGTGTAGCCTTTACTGATAATTACCATGGCAACGCTGTACCAGCATTTCCACATAATGTTTGCTGCAAGTACACAGTACACACAGCTAAGTATTCACACACACACACTCAGACTTTGTTATTACCTCTGGGCATTGAGATCACACGAATCCAGAGGAGACACTTCAGGAATATCCTCTGCAGTCAGCCCTACTCTGTAGGCTTTATATATGTACTTAGACATCCATGAGAATGAGATGAAGGAGAGAAACCCAGCACTGTCGACAGATATCACGTCCTTCTGCCTGCATTGAAATATACAGGGACACATCAGACTGTTAACATATATAGCAGGTCTGATTCGGTAAATACATGAGACAACAGAGGCACGTGTTGGTTGCCTCAGTTATTCGTAAGCACCTGTTCAAATAAACTGCAGTGAAATGGTCAAATTGCCTATTTACAACTACAATATGATCACATGCACACTTGCTGAACCAAAGAAGGGGCACCAAAAGTGGAAACAAATGTGACACACCTTCTCCATTCTTTTGTGGCATGGAACTCTACAGCAATTGGTTTCAGCATCAAACAGTTGGCAAGCAGTGTTACCAACCAACAGTAGAAATACAAATCACTTCAAAGGAAGATTATGATCATTTGGCAACCTGACCATGGAGAAAGAGAGACAGATAGATAGAGAGAGACAAAAGAATGTTATATGTAATTGTACTAGTGAAATTAAATCCAGGATTGCCATGGCAAAAGCTGCATTTAGCAAGAAGAAGAATCTTTTTACCAGCAAATTGGACTTAAATTTGAGGAAGAAACTAGTGAAATGCTACATTTGGAGCATAGCTCTGTATGGGGCTGAAACATGGACACTTAGGGCAGTAGATCAGAAACATCTGGAAAGTTTCGAAATGTGGTGTTGGAGAAGAATGGAGAAGATCAGTTGGACCGATTATGTGAGAAATGAAGAAGTGTTAATTAGAGTCAGTGAGCAGAGGAATATCCTACATGAAATAAGAAAACGGAAGGCTAATTGGATTGGTCATGTTTTATGCAGAAACTGCCTTCTAAAAGAAGTTATTAAAGGAAAGATAGATGGGCGGATAGAAGTGACAAGAAGACGAGGAAGAAGACGTAAGAAGATGCTGGATGACCTTGGGGACAGAAGAGGATACTGTCATTTGAAGGAGAAAGCTCTAGATCGCATTAAGTGGAGGAACTGTTTTGGAAGAGACTGTGGACCTGTCATCTGACAGATTACTGATGATGATGACGATCATGATGATATAATAAGCGAGATTCACAAGTCTGTCCGAAATTTGTGAACCATTGGCTCTTACCTTCACAATACTTCATATGAGCAGCATGTGACTGGGAACTATCCCATTGCTGCATTTTATTTCCGCACCACCAACAATTGCAACAGGACTGTTGTAAAAACTTTCTGCAGTGGGACAGAAGTGAGAACTCCTTCCTGTAGCACCTCCACATGTTGTTACAAGATGTCAAATATTTGGAAAAACATGCAACTTCTGCACTTACCCACATGTGTAACACAAAACAAGTGGCAGACACACAATACCCTGTCTTCTGTTTTCCTAAAACTGCGAGAACTTATCATTCTAACCATGCACCATACTCAACGCTTATTACAGACTAGTGGGACAGTCATCACTAGGCAAAGTAGAGAAAAAACCATGGCAGACATTAACACCCTAAGCATGTTGTCACTGAGGATCACAATGTAAACCAGTACCAACTTTATAACATATAACTTCACAATGCTCTTAAGATATCCTCACAGAGGATGGGCTCCTGGCAATGCATGCTACTCCTGCCACACACTAACCCAGTAAACAGTGGAAACATGGTAGATGGAGGGTTTTATGTCATGGAAGCTACAATAAAAAGAAAGTGGTTAAAGCTGACATATATATATTCTTCTTCAGGAGGTAACTTCGTGACGCTGTCAGTAGCTAGATTATATAGCTGCAACTGGTAGCATGACAAATGAATGATGAATGATGGGAAGGCTCTGGCAGGAGCCTAGTTGAGATCCTATCTCAGCATTTGCCTGGAAGGACTGGGGAGTGTAGTGACACATCCTGCGATACAGGCTTCTCCACAAAACTTGCACTATGTGTTATTGCTCAAATGAAACTGCAGCTGCACATCACAGACTGCGAATAGAGGACTAAATCACTGGCCCTGTCTATATACAGAAGATAACTAGTGCTCAGCCCCCTCAACTGGAATGTGCAGAAAGCAGATGATCCTGCCCGCACAAAGCACCATAGATCACTGTAGGTCATGGTGTAAGGGCTGAGAAGGCCCATCCTTTATTCATTCATTCATCCTGCCTGCATAGAAACATATTCTACAAAGCTTGATGTGAGGCTAAACCATGTGGTTTAGATAAGGCCATATGAATCACAGCTACATACAGTCACAATCTTCAGGGTCAAACAGTAAGTCACTTAAGAAACCAGCGGCAGAAGATGGCAACTTCAGCTGAGCTCACTGATGGCTTCAAATGGTTTCTTGGCCTGGCTGAGCCCTGAACATGATAGCTATATATGCTCCTCCAAAATGCCTGGCTCTAACTGTACCTCACAATGTCACAGCCCAGGAAAAAGCATTATTCATGTTCTATTAAAGTGAGCTGACAGGTGATGGAGCACCTTGCATGTCTGCTTGCTCTTTGATCCTGAATATCTGAATATGAAGGCAGTGTGTGTGTGCGCGCGCACGCGCTTCTAAAACATCAGCAGACTTCATACTCAGTTTCTTTCCCATTGTGAAAACCTCAATTCCCACAAGTCATTTTGTCTCATTTTATTGTTCTTGTGCCAGGTTTGTGCCAGTAATTTTCAAGTCTGAAAGCTTCTATGAACAAAAACGGTTTGAGGACCTCTTTTCTTCTATAAAAGAAACAGATGTGAACTTAATTCAAAAGTGTGTCACTATACAAACCTGGCTTCCTTGCGGACAGGAATCAAGTTCTTAAGTGCAGTCTTGTATTTCCTGATGCCACGACCAGGAGTGTATTGTGGAGGAGCATACACATATGCTCGGTATGGACCATGTCTAACCATACTGCCACCACCTTCCTTTGGGATGCTCCTCACGCTGCAACAAAACACAATTTCTTGTCCTGCATTCAAGATACGTTCAAAAGTCGAGACTGGATCATTTGCCGCGACCAAATGCACAAAACTGATCTATATGGTAGGGCTTAGTGTTATGGCAGCATTTTTGAACCACAGTTTATATTCTCATAAGTAGCATCCTTCAGACATTTCACAGAGTTTTTCCAGTGTATCAGAACAATGGAAACTGAGGTATTATCTCTATAAAATGGTCATTAAGTACATGCAATATCTACATTAAAATGTTTTTGTGCTAGGGCTGCTTTTGCACCTTATTCCTTGCTCTGAAGCTAGGAAACAGTAAAAGCTAGAATTTGATTTGAGTTCCCCTAAGTTTGACCAAGTTATACCAACAATATACATATAAAAAATAAGGCAGAAAAACTGAAACATTCGAGTTCCAAACGATATTTTGAACTTTAGGCCTTTACCTCTTCTTCTGTGCTGTAAATGTTCTATTCCTTCTGCTAGCGAAACATATTACCTTACCTATCATTCGCCGGGTCCTTGGGTGTGTATAACCGTGGGGGTGGGCAAGTCTGAACACCACCACCTTCTACGAAGATCCCTTCTTTTGAACTGTCTGCCATAACCCTGAATATTATTTGTCAGTTGGTCAACTGAACATACAATGTCAAATGTTTCAAGCAATCTGGGGCAATCCAAGCGCATAACGCGTTGCACCTTGCACTTTAAAACTGCCACGACCACAAAACACACTCTCCCATGACTTATCCACTAGCGACACAGATAACCAGAGATAACTGTAGGAAGCTATAAAAACACAAAAGTTTAATAATAAAGTAAATATTAGTGGTGATAACAGCATTATATATACATTGACTGCCATTTTGTATGACGTTCAATTGCAAAGAAATCGATATACGGCGTTGAAGTTATGAAGAGAAATTATTATGCACTGCCACTAAGACTCTTCCTTCCCATGAAGAGCACATATAACACATTCATAACTAGTACAAGATAAATTAGTTTCCTAAAATCGCAAGCATAGCAATCGTACATAACTAAACTAGTTGTGAATACTGGTAAAATTTGGTAACCGGTTTGCTGGAGAGCTCTCGACCTGCTACGCCAGCATAATTGCAGTCAATTGCGGTTTTCATGAAAGGTATTAGATGGCACAATGCCCATTATACAACTACGTTGCACGGATCATTACATGAACTTTAATCGTTGGCTACAGCTTAAACATGGAGACAAAAGTAGCTTCATCATAACGATCATAACGCTATAACAATCATAACGATCACAACCAAACTTTCGACCCTTTCGGCGCTGTCAGCAGACAACCACGCCCATCCCATTAATATTACCATTCACATTACTGCTCTCTGTTGGTAATTGCATAAACTATTTATAAATCGCACTGAACCCTGAACCGACTGATCTGTACTCAACGCTTGAAGATTGCAAGTAAAGGCTTTCAGTATCGCTCAAACATTTCACAAAGTTTTTCCCGTCAGAATAGCAGACGATTTACTCCAAGAACGTTCATTGTTATATTTACAGTGGCACAAGTTTGCTTTCATTTTCTTTTGTAGCAAAAAGGGGTTAAATTGACTAGAGAATTAGAATTCTTCTTCCTTACACTAAATTTATCGCATGTGCTAAACTTAGAAGAAAATGGTGGTGTAACTCCACAAAATTGACAGGTTCAATAAACCATTAACTCAGAAACTAACATTTTATGATTTACGTTTTACCCAAGAAATGAACATCAGCATAGATCAGGATTTGATTACCCAGTGTATACCAGAGCATGGTCTTTTCTTGGGTACAAATTGTTTATTCTTGAGCAATGTTCCATAGCAATAATGTGTCTGTATTCCAAACATTCTGAACAAGAGATGCACCAACCAATCATTCAACAATACTGAACAGACTACACATGTCATTTAAACTCATATGGGATAACACCTATTAGTATGGTTAAAGTCTCTCCTACATTGTTCATACTGGTTTCTTGCTTGGCTTCTAGACTCTTTAAATAGGCATCGACATGTCCCTCCAAAACACAGATTACCTCTCTGACTACACAGCAGAATGTGTCTGAGGACTGAACCATGCATTTACTTATGTTTTTTGCAAGCATCCTTTTCCACTAAATAAGCCATTCTAATGTTAAAGTCAACTTTGATCATATTTTCATCCAAGTTTCAATAGTGTCCTCATACAGGCCAATTGAAAACCATATAGGTCATCTAACACAGAACTGCATCAAACTTACATATGATCTTGGAAATTGTCATATAGACATAACTTCTCACAACAGCAGCTTCAGAGTATGGGAACTTATCTGAAAATTGCTGGTTAATGCAAATTAGATGTCCATGTGGAACACAATATATACTCAAGTACTGGGATCTCCTGGGCCTCTAGGGCCAGTTGCATCTTCTTGAGGCACTTTTACATAATTTGTGTAAGGAGCTACATAACATCTCAGAGAGGGAACCATCTCAATTTTGTTTTCCAGTCACTCGAGACATACCGACATACTCACCATAACTCTTTCCTTCCATAATCTTCCCTTTCCCCATTCCTAGATCATATTTCTATTAACATCTCACACACCCAGAAATAAAAAAAAAAATTAATAATGTATTAGTGATGCACAAACTTTGTATCATGTATCCACCTCTTGCAAGATGAACATTTCATGACTCATCTTTTTACATTTGTGTCGCAAAATTTCACCAAAGTCGATTAAATGGTTTCAGAAATGATACACATAGGTGGATACTTATGAATCCCATTAGTGGGGGGTGGAGTCCAACTGGGTCCACTCGGCACGATGGCCACTGATTGGCCTATTGTAGCCTGCCCCAGGTGATTATGATGGAGAATTTGGTGGAATGAAGATTGGCAGGGGAAACTAAAGTACTTGGAGAAAACCCACCCCAGCGCCACTTTGTCCAACACAAATCCCACTTAACCAGACCTGGGATCGAACCCAGGCCACTGCAGTGGGAAACCAGTGACTAACCACTTTAACTATGGCGCGGCCAGACGAATCCCATTAAGTAACATACAGCATACTGTAAAGAACCAATACTTACAATTCAACTTCAAATGATCAGACTGTATCAGCAACAAGCCACACAAACTGGGGCAGCCCACTTGGAAATATGTTCAAACAGGTATGCCTGCTTTAGAAATGCACAGCATTACTGAGATTGAGGAATAGATATGACTGGATGTAAATGCACACTTAAGATGTATATTTTCGGAAATTGTGTATTTTGGAGGTGAAATACTGTCACTGTGTTAAAGCATTGAGAATATTCACAGCATAAGCTTACTAAACTTCAGCACAGAGTAACCAATGCATGTTAAAACATAATTCTATTGCCATTTTGATTGTAACATGGGATCCACACAATTGAATGGCAGTTTCTTTGTTCAACTTTACAAACCTGCGACCACATATCCCTGCTGCTACATTTTAGGTTTACTAACTACTAAACCTCAGGTGAGTATTTGGACCTGAGAGACAGAAAATGACAGGAGTTTGGGGGGGGGGGAATGCACAATGAGAAGCTTCAAAATTTGTGTTCTTATTATAAAGATGTTGAAATTGGGGTGAAGGGAGACAGACAGGGCATGTAATATCCACTGGTCTTTACCCTGAGCCAGTTCCATCCACCTCCCCATCACAACCCATTTCCCTAACTACCTTACTAATAAACTGGTAACAGAACCCAAAGGTTCAACACTAATGCTTGCTATTCTCATAACCTATTTCCTTAAGATATATTTTACTGATTCACTATCTCTCTCATAGCAGAACCTGCAGATTCAACATAATACCAAAACCTGCCATCAGACACGATCCTGTGCCAATTTTACCCATTCTCCACCATCACAACATACCCCCATGATCCTCCTTAATAATATCCATCTCCTCTTTCACATTTGACATCAAATGCATATGCATTTCTGGTCCTGTAACACAGTAAATCAATCACCTACAAACTTGAACATAACAAAACTGAGAACGCTTATTCCTGAGCTGTATGGACCCTCAGTCATGTCTGGCTGTTTACAGATTTCCATCTTGCACTAAGAACACATCCACTGAAACGTAACACATGGGGGTACCATTTATTATGCCATAAAACTGGGGTGCATTCACTATGTGAGGTGACAACCATGTGTACACAGCATTCAGTCTCTACTTCAACTGTCACAGATAACACATGTTAGTGAAACACGGCATCATGAATTCCTTTACAAAAACACCAAGAAACCCAAAACCATATTCTCCAGATGACTGGGTTTCTGGATCACGTGCACTGTCTAGTATTCTGAAGAGAACATGCTTTGGAAAGTGAAAATTTCCATTGCTGGGTGAAAAGGTTGGGAGGCACTTTGTCGAGTCCATCAGAAACTAATAATCACGATAAATGGCCCACAGACTGAGACAGCTCATTCTGAGAAACTATAATGAGTATGCCTCCCTGCATTTTCACCTCTGAAATGTCCCATTCAGTTTGGACTACTAGATGATGGACGGAGCCCAGATACCCAGTAATCCTAAGTATCCTATATAAAACCTCTTAGAATTGATCTGAAACCATATTACTACAGCAAATTATGCATACATAAATAAAAAAAGAGGATCATTGCATATCTGTACCCTTCTAATTCAATTTCATTTTAACGTGATTTTGAAAATACAGTACACAAGATCAACATAGTATCTGTTAATCAAAATTTACACTGTAGTTTACTATTTACTGCATGGCAATATGATGTATGAAGATAACTGGCTGCAAGTGCCTCTGCTTGAGGCTTGCAATGCAACCAGTTTATCTCTATTCTGAAATTCTTAACAACACACACACTATTTGTGAATCATGAAAGCGCAAAGCTGCAGTGGCTCTGGGATTAACTAGGCGGGGGTGGTGGTGGCGCTGCAAGTAGACTTGGCAACCCTGCCAGTGCATTGATGTCAACACCCTGCCCATTGTGTCCTGGTGGAGGTGGAGGCTGGACGGGCTGCGGAGGTGGTACTCCTATAAAATTCTGATGCCAAGGGAACATACCAGGTGGAGGGGCCCTGTTGGGTGGAGGTACTGGACCTGGTGCTGTGGATGATGCCAGAGAGGGTGGAGGCTGCTGCCATGGAGGCAGACCCGGGGGTGGAAGAGTTGCTGCTGGTGGTTGCTGCTGTTGTCCTTGTTGTTGCTGCTGTTGTGGTTGTTGCGGCTGCTGCTGCTGCGGTTGCTGTGGAGTTGCTAATGGCGGTTGCGGTTGTGACCCAGGTGGTGGTGGCTGAGCCTGTGATTGTAGCCATGGCAAGAGGGGTGGAATTGATGCCTGTGAAGTAGTCACAGGAGGGGGCTGGCTAGATGGTGGTGGTGGAGGTGGTGCTTGTAACAAATTAGGGGGAGGAATATTTGGTGTTTGCCAAGGTGGAGGCATAGCAAGTGACGGAGCTGAAGGAGGAGGTGGGTGACTCATGTTCGGCATCATGTCAGATCCTGGTGGTTTGTTTGCTGGAGGCATTGCCGGACTCCATGGAGGAGGAGGCAAAGTGTTTGGGATCAACTGTGGTGGGGTAGCCATCATGTTATGCTCGAGCCTTGGTGGGGGAGCCATGATAGCACGTGGAGCCATCTGACGATCAAATAGGCTCATATTACCACTTGGACCTGAGCGACGCCCAAACCTGTTCTGCCCAGAATCACGGTCGTTATCTCTGTTGGGAGGAGGGCCCTCGCCCAGTTCTGCCATAAGTGAGAGGTACTAGAGAAAACCAAGATATAATGATAAGAATTGGGTTATGACCTCAGGCAAATTCAGGGATACAGATATCCACATTACTTCTAAAGACTTCACAAAGCCTTGCTGCAATCAGACATCCACAACCTAGATACATAAACTAATATTATCCAAAGGGTACTACTTTCTGGAATATAATGCCACGTAGTCCACTGAATGTCAACCAACAACTTTCATGCTGGTATCTTGCCCAGCTTATTCACCACTGAAGATGAAGGCAACATGTTCCTCTGAAATTTTGGCTAACTTTCAATGACCTACACAGCATTACATCCCAGAAGATAGTAGAGTACTCTTCATCATTGCCACCACGAGAACCTCAAACCTAATATAACAAAATTACCTCTTCATCAATTTTGTTCTTGTCACCCACAGCATTGGGTCCCCCTGTCCCTGGTCTTTTCTGCCGACAATCCCTGGCAATATGTCCGGCTCCTCCACAGCTCGAACACACGATGTTGTTTGTCACATTTGGCTTGTCAGGACACTGTAAGGGTCAAAATGGCTTTTTAGTAAGCTCAAACATACCACTCCCTTTTAAACAATGATAAACATGTGCAAGGCCATACCATCCAGGATTTATGATCAGATGCTCCACAGTTTGAACACCGGGGTCCCTCATTTTCTCTCAAAGTTCCATTCAACAGGGCCAACTCCCTTAGCTGCATCCGACGCAAGTCATTCTGGCCTTCAGGAACTTCAACACCTTGTCGAATTATCTCTTTGATCTGAAAGATCAGAATCTGCTTTGAGAAAGAAGTTCACACCACAAATGTGTAACATACAAAAAGTGTAGATGCATCTCTACAAATTCCAATGGATCATCACATATCATCATTAAATATCCACATCATCAAAGGAGGTTAAGCCCGAAGTTACAGAACCTAAATCAACTTCAATGTCAAGTAGGCTTCATATGTGAGCAAATATTTGACCAACAACATAACTTTCCCATCATGAGTTCAAATTATGCAATTACTGTCTGTTAAAAGTGGTCTGAAAGGAGGTCAGAAATATGTTCCACGGAAGAGAGATGATGCAAGGCACCGGGGATGAGGTGCACAGACTTTGCTCAGAAAACAGATAAATGGGGAGAACCAACACAAATACAAATGTCATGTGTTGCAACACCAGAGATTAACTATTTTCTTTCTTACTCTATCAACTGCTTTCTTCACAGCTTCTGGGTTGTTGGCTGTCACATATGCATGTAAAGGCTCATCTTCTCCAGGCAGCGGCTGCCCATCCTTGCGTCCGACTTTTCCTTCTTTCACTGATCCCTTCCCACGAATTATGATTTTCGCTCCAGTGTCCCTCTCCATTGCTGAAATAAATATCAACTGTCAGAGATCACCTCCGACTAAACTTCCTACCATGCATCACAAAGATTCTGATATCATATCTAATATCTTATGGCAGATCATGTACATCGTGCAGCATCTTGCTCAGCTGTTGAAAAAATGTCTTGCTATTTAATAAATCCTGATCATTCACTGCCATTCTTAGAAACCTACCATCCTTTATTTATGGTTTATTTAATGTTCCTAACAGTAGCTGAAGATTAGATCCTTTCAAAATTTGGCACAGTGAAAGTATTTGGGAATGACAGCAACAGGTCAAAATTTGATTGAGGAGGAAATTAAGAGACTGAATTTAGGTAATGCTTGCTACTGTTCAGTCCAGAACCTTTTAAGTGTTCTCATCTGTTGTCTAAAAATGTAAAAATAAGAATATACATAACTATATTTTTGCCCATGGTTCTGTGTGGTTGTGGAACTTAGTCTCCAACATTAAGGGAGGAACACACAGAACGATGGTGTTTGAGAACAGAGTACTGAGGAGAACATTTGGACTGAAGAGGGATGAAAAATGCACAATGTGGGAGCTTCATAACTTGTACTCTTCACCCATAAAAACTCGAATGATCAAGTCAAGGAGGATGATATAGGCAGTGCATGTTGCATGCATGGGGCAAATAGGAATGCATATAGGAGTGGGGAAGCCAGAAGGAAAGAGACCACTAGGAAGCCCAAGATGTAGGTGGGTGAATAATATTAAAATGGTTCTTAAAGAAATATGATGGGGTGGTATGGACTGGACTGATCTCTCAGGATGGGGACAAACTGCAGACTCTTGCGAACACAGTAATGAACCATCGGGTTCCATAAAATGCTGAGAAATTTTTGAGTGGCTGAACAACTGTTGGCTTCCCAAGAAGGGCTCAGCTCCATGGAGTTAGTTCAAGATTCCGTATCACCACATGGTAGAGAGAATGAATTGGAAAGCATGTGGAAGGAAGTGGCTGTGGTCTAATTTAATGTACAATCCTAGGAATTGCCTAGAGGAGAAAAAATAAAAAATAAAAAACCTGTCATGATGACAGTCTCCGGGATAATATTTGAACCCATGACACCTATCCTGATGGGGAGAGAAAAATCCAACCCAGTTTGAGAAAGAGGTATTGCCTAAGAAACAGAAAATGTTCCAGTTACATATGTAGTTCACAATTTTTGACAACCAGATGAATGCTGGCAAATAAACAGCAGTGAAACACATCTCCAACTAGGAGCTCCAAAATATGGTTGCCAGTGGCAACCAACTTTCCACTCATCATTCAAGAGTTCGCTTTTGGAATTCTGATAGTTTCATCTGGTTATGACCTGTTAGGTTCTGAAGAGAACATTCCTTGGCTGTGCAGCGTGACAGGAATGACTGTCATGTCCTGAAGGGAGGCAAGAGCCACAGCATGGCCACTCCACCCTTTTCTATCCAACACTCAAAATATTTTCAAAATGTTTCTCATCCCTGTCTTTAATACAAATTTCTGAAGAGCAAGATGAAAATAAACTCACATTTCAGTGTATTTCCACGAGGTCCAATCAACAAACCAACAAAATTGATATCAGGATGATCATCTTGCGGAATCATCACTTTGTCACTGACTCGGATGATGGGTGGCCTGAAAGCATTTTATTCATACAGCAAAATCCAAAAAGGCAAAACACATAAATCATCATGTCCACATCAGCAATCGAGACAGACATACTTGTAGTCTGCGGGGGGTTTGAAGTCTGGGTTCAGACTCAGCATCTGCTGGATGAGATGGTGACGCTCCTCCTCAAGACGTTTCCGAGTACGATACTCACGGGTGTTCAGACGTTTCCCATCACTGCTGTAGATTGGCTCAGGTGACGGAGACCTGTGAAACACACCATTACAGCTCATTACAAACTCGAGGCTTTTGGTAATGCATAGGAATATAATCTAATTATAAATGTTTCAATTTGTGTTCATGTAAAAATGAAACTGTAGATGCAATTATGAAGATTATAAGGGCTTGAAAAATTGTGCCAAATACTGCTCACCAAACTAACAATTTAGGAAAGTTTGCATAGCTTTAACAACTCTGGTGCATTCACGCTTTTTTATCTTGAAACCAGTAAGGCTTACGCAAAAAGTGTACTCATATAATATACATATTTCTTTTCTACAAATATGTCCAAAATATTTTTCACTTCAACAAATATTTTATTATGCTTCCGATATGCACAGGAACACACCATGCATTCATGTAAAGTGTCCCCTAGTGTTTGATATAAATTAAAACTGGAATGTGTTGACAGATTTTAATAAATCCCTCAATAACAAATTTCATAAAAATTCATTCTCTTCCATCTGGACACGCTGCATGCAATTCACATAAGAGAAATACACATACAGCCACTGCCAACATATTAAGACCAATTTTAAAATAACGAGAAAACTGAAACAGAGAACGGTAACATAAATGGCAATTCCAAAACATCTACTCGCCAACTTGCAAGATCAATTCATCACAGGCAAGCGGGCGACCATATTTTTCGAGCCCTAAACGTCAGAACAAGTACTGAAGTAATCTGGCACAAAATGCAACCAACTCTGAAGTTCCATACATCTTAACGTATACAATTTCAACAAATCCTGGACTCATAACTGAACGGGGCTATATGAAGAAAAGTACACAGCAATTTCAGGCAATCTTACTGAATTGTGCATGTAAAAATTTTGAATAGAATATTCTTCAAGAAATTACATCCGTATTTGGGCTCCAAACCTTCCATCAACTTTCAGACTGCAAAGTCCAGCAAAGAAAACACTGTCCTTTCTTTTTTTTTTTTGTAACAGTGGTGCATGCGTCCACCATGACATACACATAATTAATTCTCTGGGACCCGGGGGCAATACACAAGCCTCCCCCATTAGAATAGCCTCTTCCGCTACTACATAGTAACTAGAGAGCCATCTTAACATGGCCTTTAAATTCTACATCCAACATCTATCAATATCTTAGAAGACGTAAAAGGAAGAATGACCGGTGTCTGTGTTACAATGGATTACTTTTTTCGATAATAAAGCAACACTCCATACAGTGCAGTATTGGTACTGCCTAATGGCTTTGATAGTGGTGGATTTGCACCCAAAATAAACAAACACAAAATTTTAAGAACCACGGTTTGAAAATGTGGATACTTCAAAACTGGAGTTCACTTCTTGCTCATCTGACCTGTATGCATGTTCCCGCTTACTATGCTGAAGAAGAAAAGTGCAAACTTTCTAACTCTAACTCTGGGGAGCTGATGTTATGTTCTTAATGTTCCAAGCCATCATTACAGATATGGTTTCTACAGAACACAGCAGTCACATACCCTGATCTTCCCCTACCCATGCCTTGTCTGGTTAATTTTGTAAGTCACACATTCACAGAGTAACATCAAAAGCCTACCAAGAAGATAAGCAGTTTCAATACCCTCACTAATTTATTTTAAAATACTGTAAGAGAAAAATATAATATACTCGAACTCGTGTAGTATCAGCTGTAACTAGAATAAAGAATGATTATGTTAACTGCAGTAAGACTTGCTCCTTGCAAGCAAGACTTCTGGTAAGAGTAGCAATAATTACATAAGAAATCACAAGATAAATTCACATGGATGCAATAAAAATGCAGTGTAGGAAATAAGAAAAATATTAACAAAACCTAGAAATAATTTGTGGTGTTGGTGATGGTGGTATGTCTGGGTCTCTTTAAACAAAACTGATGTGACATTGATTACAAAAATCTTCACAGTTCAATGAGCAATGAAAGAGCAATATGATCATGAGGCAACACAAAGTAACTGAAGCGATCAAAGACATGCAACAACTACCTATTCTTCTGTGACAAAGAGAAAGATCTGTTTAGAGAAGTGTATGAATTTCTACAGAACTACAACTGACAAGGTGTCCACACATCACAATAAGGGTGAGAAAATGCTTTAAGGTTCATGTGACATTACAGCATTAAACCAATATTAATCCTCATTCAGCAAGAAATTCAAATTAATGGCATTTTTTATTGAAAGAAAAAATCCGGTGAGGTTAGGTGTGTACCCGAGTTTGTTCATTTGGTGGTGCTTTGTCCAGACTACCAGATCTGATTACGTTTCCCTATTAGCTGAGCACGTGTTTTCCTCTTCTGTCTCTAAATGATGAGATTCTGACATACAGAATTTGTTATATCTTTACCATTAAGATGGTTTGGCTGGCAGCTATATTATCGGCAGCTTGAGAGTGAGGAGTTACGAGTCCTATGAAATGCACATTACTCTTTCTTACCAGAATTAAGAACTGACATCCATACAGACACCCTAAAACCTCCTGGCAAAGAAATTCTGTATGTTTCTACATGCTCTCATTTTGTTAGGTGTTCACATACAACCTTCCACAGTTTTACTCAAGTCTCTGATGATTTTATCTTAACCAAAAAACAACGATTACACCTCACCAGGTGCTTTTAAAATTACCATACACATGATATGATTTCCAGTTCCTCCAAACTAATATTTTCAACATATATATACAAAACAAGCATCACAATTCCACGATACAAATTGGAGAGAGATTAAGGATATCAGAGAGCATCTAGTTAGTGCACCACAATCAAAACTTACATCCTACACTGGTTCTGCATAGTGTACAGTATAAAAGTCCTGTATTTTGGTGTTATGGGAAGAAGAAAATTTAAATTAAAACAATTTAGATAACCATTCATAATAATAGTGATCTCTGCTAAAGGAACACAGATGTTTAAGGAAAAAAGTCTGTTATAATACACATCCTGGAATATAAGCATCGTTTTTTAAAATATGAGTTTTGAAAGCTGTAAGAGAATTGTCCCACACCAAATTACTTTAAAAGCTTTTTCATGTTTCATGAACAGGTGATAAAATGGTATAATAAATATCTCTGTGACAACTGATGTATAACACTGTAAACTTCTAACCAAGAGTCCAGTATTTAAGACTTTTAGAACACTATGAAGAGAGATACTGCACATGTGAGAGCAAAACTGTGTGCATTTTATGTTTAAACATTTCACATTTATCGTGTAGTCTGAATTGCAGGACTTCAGAAAATGTCTTCCTACCAAGAGACGGCACAAAGCAAAAATTATGAAAGAAGTGAATGCAAAGTTTCAAAATAAAAACACAGAATATTTTAGCTAATCAAATAAAAGCATAACATTATGTAAATTAGCAGAATTATAAAAAAACAAATGCATCATACATTTTTCTTACATTTCACCAGGACTGCAAATAGAACGAAAATTATAACTTTGCTGTATGAAGCACCAACTTACAAGCTTTCGGAATACATTTTTAACCTTAGACAACTGAAACCGAACAAACCCAAAATATTCCCCATGCAACTGCTTGACTGTATGCGTTCAATTCTGAATCTGCCCATGAAATAAACCAACCGCCAAAGCCCCAATAGAGTGAATCTCTGATTTTATGCTTTCCTGCATTTAATGTGCGTGTCTTGTGGCCCCAGAAAAGCTCCATATGCCCAATGTTCTGCTTCCATTTAAGGGTTTACCCACATTTTAGATACTGAACTCTGAATCCCACGCATGCTTCGGATATTGTTTTAGCATTGAAAGAAATTACTTTTTGCATGGCCCCATTCATGTGTGGCCACCCCTGCTTAGTCCAATCATCATCTGCACTGTGTGCAATGCGATGCGCAAAAATTAGTAAGGTAGACATCTCACCAATCTGTGGTGGGAAGCACAGATGCATGTTCACTCTTTGTCCTCTGTGTCAGTCAGAAGTGGTTACTGGTTTTGTTCTCTGCTGCATTTGAGTGAGATTGTTTTTGTTTTGTTTGGGCGGGGGGCGATTCTGAAGAAATGAATGGCCATGATGTTGAAGAGAGAGGCTTAACAATATACGATTAAGTGAATATTACCGAAGAGTTGTTACAGAGCCCAACTGTGTCTGCTTCTGTCAGCACTGAGTAACATAATTCTAAAGAAAGCTTGAATTGTTGAAGAGGGAAGCTGGTGTGGGTCACATTTTGAGAAACAAAAAAAAAACTTACTCTAGTAAATGAACAAAGTTCAGTACCTCATTACCAGGGCCCGGATTTTGATGACATATCTTTTTTTCCTTGTATCCTATGCGATGCTCTTAAATATATAAATCTCGGATATGAGCTGCTGGTCAAAGAAACGTAAATTTTATAGGTAATTTTTTGACATTTTTAGGTTTAAGGTCATTTTTTCATTTTGGGGGTAATTCTTGGGGATTTTAAGGTTATTTCTTGTCATTTTTGGACATTTCAGGGAATTTTTCTTCATATGTTTTCTGAAATGTGAATAATATGGAAACGAAGTATTCTTTCTCTCTCCTTTAGGTCATTTTTCTGGATCTTTTCTGTCATTTTATAGGTTATTTTTAAAATATTTTCAGGTCATCAAAATCCGAGCCCTGCATATTACATTTTTGGGTCTTATTTTAGGTCATTTTTCTGGATTTTTTCAGTCATTTTATAGGCCATTTTTTAAATATTTTCAGGTCATCAAAATCCAGGCCCTGCTCATTACTGACATAATTAAGTTTAACCTTTAAGGGAAGAATACTATGTATATCTAGGGCAACTAACAACCCTATGGCCAATGTTATATTTTCTATAAGGCAGGACATGTGTGCTCTCTTTGGGTGTGCTCACAGTTTGATCTTGTGTTTGAAACAAAACAAACCCATGCAAGGTCATGTCAGTGGTTCATTCGTTAGCTCTGAACAATGGAATCGTTCATCAGGGTACTGGTTTCAATACTATTTACGTTTAGACATGACTGTTTATGACCTGGTCAGCCAAATACAGCCCAGCTTTGTTCTGAGAACTGAGGAGTAAATATTCATCTGTGCTCGCAGATCAGGGCTTCTAGAACTTTCAAGGAAGTGTGACGTATTCAAGGATTAGTTTTCAGTAGCAAATTATCAGTTAGGAAGTCAGTGTCAGAATGACATATATTTCTTTGTATATCATTTTTATTTTGTGTTTCAAAAAAGTATAAACACACTGAGCCAGTATTACTTTGTTAGTAAAAATATTATTCCATATATAGCGTGATTATATTTACAAAATCACCATGTCTCAAGGTTGAAGAAAAAACTGAAAGTCCTTTGGAATTTTATAACATATATAATAAAGATTTTGAATTTCATTGCAAAATAATCAGTTAATTTTCATTTGTAAAAATTGCTCTTTTGTGTATATGTAGAAATTGTTATTGTCTTTCAGGTTGTTTTAGTCTGTATTTCTATGCTGCACAGAACAGAAACTTTTTCTGAAAGTCTGCAATGTTAAAGACTTCGGTCCATTTAAATTTCAGCTGCAGAGGGCTGCCAACAATTTAAAAGTCCATATGTTAAAGGTTAATCATCATTTTAGAGGGCGTTTCCCTGAACTGCAATTTAAAGTACAAAAAGCATGTCCTCCATAGAAACCTCAAAATGGGGTTTCACCACAGATGCAAAGTGAGGTACTTTTATTGACTGAAAATACTAAGACAAATGATTACCATGTGTGATACATTTATATTTCCTGTCAGAGCCAGCAGCAGGTAATTGCATGAAGTGATTCAAAACAGATACAGAAGACCAATTTAATCAAAATCATGCAATTACCACGAATCAAATGATCACTGGCACTATATGAATCACAAATTTATCACACCTTTGCAAAAACAAACGATACAACCAAAATATTCCTTTCTTTTTCCCAGTATTCATAATTACATGGAGGAAAGTCATTCTTCAGAAACTATCGGCCCATCATTTTCTGCTATTCATTCTATATCCACACTAAGGAAAAACGTCTATTCATGAAATATGCACAAATTTTCAACTGTATTCAAAGCTACAACATAATCTTGTATAACATGACACACAAGAAGACATGATTACAAGAATAAGCAATAACTAATGGACTCAATTTAAATTAATTTACAAAATATTAAGCAGAGCAAAAAGACTAGACATTGCAAACACAGGACTGTCTCAAAACACAATCCTTATGGCACCAACATTACCAATCAGAGCAGCTCAGAAAGAAAACATGGCTCAAGAGCTCTCAGCTCCAATCACACCAAAACAGAATCATTTGGAGGCTGAAATAAAGAGTACATTCCAAAACAAGTTAGGAAATGTAAGAGGAGGGCTGGTAACAATTTGACAATGTTCCCATACTTTTTGTTTAATTATGTAAAAAAGCCAGAACACTTACGAGAACAGTACACTCACTATACATAAAATGTGTTATTTCTTTCAGCAACTTATGTTCAAAACATTAGCTACTTTGCTCTGATAAATATTTAGCAATTTATGCTTGAAATGTGCGCGCGCACACACACACAAACACGTGTAGTAACTGCTATTACTGCTGTCTGGTGTGAACAAAAACTGGACTGTGTTCACAAATTCCCCCCTTCCCCCATATCAAATTTAATGAAAATCATTTCAGCATGTATTCCAGTTGATTCAAATGGACAGACAGCCATGATACAATTAAGAAGCATACTTCTGCAACTTTCTGTTATGAGCAGCCAAAAAATAAAAAGCACAGACTGGTGGCAGCAGCAGATATGTCATGCTCTCCACCACACCAGCCACATGACAGCATCTGTCGCAGCCCACAAATGCTTCTGCAGAACGAGGTGCAATACCCCTTATTAATGATTTATGTAATGATGTTGCCCATACCTCTCACTGTATAGCATCAGATGCTATGATCAGTGATTAACAAATTGGAAAGGATGTTGAAGGATAAGATTTCAGGTATTATCCTGACATTTGCAAGAACCAGCTGGATAGCTGGCCTCCACACCAAGATTCGAACCTGGGACCTCCTACATACATACATACACAGGAAGGGTGCTGCCCATCTGACTGTGATGTTCAATGCAATATTCTTTATTTATGTTGCATTATATAATATCCTGCAATTCAAACCACATTAAAAACTTCAGGTATCAAAGAATCTGATTACATTTTTAATGCTACGAAATAAAAATATTAATCAGCTGTTTCAACCTGAAGTCACCCAACCTGGAATTCATCTCTTACTAAAAGAAATGATTTAGTAGAGTTTCCAAACCAATACATAGCCCATGACAGAATGCAATCATGAAGTGAAGACCCAAATCCTTGTGAAGGAGGGCCAGATGGATCTTGTTGCTAAGCTGAACACAAGTGGTTATTGGTATTGCATGGCATTGAAGCACACCTTTCTTCTGGATTAAGTGGGATCCCTAACTCGCCAGTGCGCAGCTTTCTGCTGATCTCCTCGATCTGCAGCTGAACTGAAATAAAATGGGTTAGAGAGGGGCACAAAGCCCAACAATTAGATACCAATCATGGAAACAACACTTTTAACATGTGCTTTTTGTTTTAGAAAAGGTTCAGTTTACACAGGAAACAAAACAGACCTTCAAAAACAAACAAAACAACTTCATCACTCTTAGAAATCCTGAAATCTCCATTAGTATAACAGAAAATAAAGTCGGGAGTGGCCGAACTCAGGCACGACTTCAAGGTTCCAATATACCAGAAAGTTCTTCAAATATGGAAATAGCAATAAATAATTGGCCAGTCCTGGCAGCAAAATATAATTAAAAAATACACATAAAAATCACAATTGCTGAAGACAGAAATACTGTCACATACCTATGATGAAATAGCAACCCCCCAACCAAAAAAGATACCCTATCTTGGTGTCTACACCATAAGCTGCACACTACATTACTTCGGAAAGTTATTACATTTTTCAAAATATACAGTTAATTCACTGTTTCTTATATGAAACTAACTGAACCACTGTAAGAAAGACCATACGGTTTACATTATGCCACACATAAACATAAAAATCGTCATAACAGCCTGCTTCAACTTCAAGACAAGTATACAATCAATATTGGGGTGGAAAATTATAATAAACAAAAGAGCCTTACCTAAGTATGCTTCTTCTTGTTCTTTACTTAGATTGGTTGGCAACACTGTGGGCATACCAGGAATAAAGGTTTTTTCTTTTTCATCTCCACCCCAACGTGATCGTCTTTTCTTTGCTCTTCTCTCCTCCCTTTCAGCTGTTGAAATGGTGGAATTTCATGAGCAGTGTATGTAGGGGAACAAAAATGGCAGTCATGAATGAGAAAGGTGTGGACTGAATTCATCTGAGTCCACTGGTGGGCTCTTCTGATATAAAAATACAACAGTGAACCTTCAGGTTCCTTGACAAGCATGGAATTTCTTGATGAGCTGAACTATCAGCTATCACACATGCCTCTGATCCACTGATTCTATTAGTACATGATGATGTTTCTTTCCTTAATTTACAGCACAACTGATTTACTATCATTACTTCAACAAATGGGCAAAATCTGAATACCTGATGCTGTAAATGTTGGCGGTACTGTAAAACTACAAAATGTACTCCCAAAGAACTTTTAACATCAAAGCTAAAGGCATACATTATTTGTCAGTTCTTTGAAATCCTGAATAATGAAGCTACCATGATCTTTAATTACATCTGTACCCTGCTGGCAGGACCATTGAACACAGGCTCACACGAAGCAACACTTAATGCACATGTACAGTTAGTTCAAAAATACAATATTTACTACCTCAATATGAAGCATTCTCAAGATTGCTGCAGGATTGAAAAGAGGTACTTATACACCTAACTAGTAACGTGCAATTTAGGTACATGTGGATGAAGAAACTCATAAGAGCCCCCACCCCCACCCCACCCCCCACCCACTACAACATTGCAGAATTACATCTGATCCCCCTTGCTCAGAGTTCAAGTTTGAAGAAAACTGCAACGTTTCTGAAAAATGCTGGTATTTGAAAATAAATTATATTCGTATTCTCACATGTACTTTATAATTTGTGGTACGGTCAACGTAAATGTTAACACGCGCAAATTTGTGATGGGGGAAAAAAAATGCATAATGGCGCCACAGAGCTTTTATAAAAATGCGTAACAATAAGTTCAGATACTTACCATCCGTTTCCCTTTTATGCGATTCTTTACCATTGGGAGACTGCAAGTAACTAGGATTCAGCAAAGACGTAAAATTTCTTGTACTTCCTTGCGACCCAAACATCGAATCCAGCCTTCCTAGTTGTGTATCATTCGATCCATTAGAACTCATGTTCAATATAACTCCTAGAAATAAAAATATGACACATAATGTGAAATCAACACCTGAAATAAAGTACGGACGAATAAAAAAATGATACATATGTGTGCTTTTAACACAAGCTTACCTAACTCTCACTAACCTCTCAAAATGGCGTCCTTTTCATGACGATACCGAATTTTACATGGCTTCACGGCAGATGTCCATACAATCACTCTAAGGGAATGGAACCATGGATTTGGGCCAATTGCATCTGCATCTCTCTGCTAAGATTTGCAACTTAGGAAGTCATGTATCGCCACGTCTTGTATAGCCATCTAGTGGTAATCGGTGGTAATACAACGGTTGGAGGTGAATTGCAGATTGTTCAGTCGATGAGTGGAAGAAGAGGTTGAGATCGTTGAGATGATTGAGATGTAGGTTCAATATAACGTAATTCTGTATGCTTCACGGATCAGCACAGACCGTATATGATTACCAGTCATGTTCATGTGCTCCATAAGTCCTTAAGTTAGTATGGAAGTATGGAACATAGTCGTCGTGAATTGATGTTCATGCTGGCCATGTAAAAAAAAACTATAATTGTCAGCGAATTTTATTTATTTTACTTCTTCAGTCACCATTTTCAGAGAGCATTTTAAATGTCACATACAATCATATGATAAAATACTTCTAGCGTCCTTGCGATTGCTATTTGTTGATGTCATTGCTTGAAGCCGACGTTACCGATTGGATACTTGTTTTTACAAGATTATGAACATGAGAAATTTTAGCAGGAGCGAAGTTGAAAAATATTACATAACGACAGTTTTGTCTAATACCAGCTGAGCTACAACGGTCAGCTTCGCTGCAGCATTCATCATCCTACTCGGTAAGCACTGATCTCCACATAGTACATATTCTCCAAATTCGAGTTACTTTGGCAGTTCAAGGTCTATGAACCCACAGTCAGGTAAAGTTGTCCCTGTACTTTATTAATTACGTATCAAGTCATGAAATATGGGGGAGTGGAAGTATAGCTCCACTGTTCTTCACCTGGGCACTAGCTGTAGAGTGGTCAGCTTCACCCCCTGGGAAAAGTGCCCCCAGTACCCATTGGATTAGGAGGCTGTGTGGGCCCCAGAGCCAGTCTGGATGCTATGGAAAAGAGAAATCTCTTGTCAATGCTGGGAATCGAACCCTGGCCATCTGGCCAATAGCTATACTGACTAGACTTCAGAAAATGGCGTTTTCCTGAACCGTCTGAGGCCAGACCATCCATGGAAATAATGTAGATTGGGGAAAGTTGTGTGCCCCTTGAATTGTCTGCAAAGCCAATGATATTCAGCTATCATGTGGTCACCAGCAACAGCTGTCACTTGTTCACCTGACCAGCAAAACTTAAAAGTCTCATAATTGAACAGTGAAGTTGAACAGGGGTACCTTTCAGTTGTTATTAACAATGGAATGTGATTTTGGTAGTTTTCGAGAGAGCAGCAAAATTTGTCTTTTATTTCAATGCCTGTGTTGTGTATCATAAGGGCAGCATAAAATGCACATTTTCATAGCTAAAATCTGTGTACTTATATATAGTACACTGGTANTTTGCCTATCATCTTAGGTCTTAAGTACAGTAAAACAAGTTACATGATGATGATGATGATGATGATAATCACAGTAATGACAATGATGATGATAAAAGTAAGGTAAAGTTGGCCCTGTGCTTAATGAATTAAGCACTATGCAATAGAGGTGTATGGGGGAGTGCATGTATAGATCCACATTTTCTTGACTTCAGCACTACTTGGAGGTGAGTGGTCAGCTTCAGGCCACAGCTGCTTTACCCCCCCCCCTCCCACCCAGGGAAGGAGCCACCGGTACCCATTGGATAGCTAGTGAACCCTTGAGCCAATCTGGATGACTTGAAGAGAAAATTCTTGACCCTACTGGGACTCGAACTCCAACCCCTCAGTCATTCAGCTCGTAGCCAGTCAATATACCGAATATGCTATCCCAGCTCCCTGACAATGTTCATGGTATTAATAATAAATGTAAGTGAAATGACCTTCAGTTATTTGTGTAGCTGTTACAGTAGTGATTCATCCATCCATTTCAGAATAATTCAAACACTTCCATTTGAGGTGAATATGCCATTAATAAGCAAGCAGTATGTGACCTGTGTTCTTGGTTCCCTGATGAAAAATCATGATGGTTCCCATTCTAATGCAGTTAGAACAAATTAAACACACCCACAGGTCTTGCAGTAATCCCAGTCTTTGTGAAGTAAACAGAGTTTCAATATAGGCACTTCAAAAATATGACAAAAGAGTTTCCCCATGAGAAAAACACATTTCAGTAAAGTGCTTTTGTTTCAGGTTTCAAATTTATCACCAATACAGAAATATACTCACCTGCCCCAATGAGATAAGGCCAAACTAAAAAGAGTTTAAATATCTGGGATAACATTATAAAACTTTTCATTCTCCAATTTCATAACGACTTTGTGTGAACTCCCCCCCCCCACAACAGATATTCTGAGTCATTTTAATCACACTAAATCACTGTACTTTGTACATATGCATGCTAGGAAGACTGGAGTGGCATCAGAATGTGCATGGGTTATGGCCTAAATGTGTTTAGATACTGACACATCAAATAAATTTGCCTATCTTTGTTGTGTGTGGTCAAACTGCACTGTATTACAGTTAGTACTGTTTCACACAAACACTGATTTATTTAATACATTGTAATAATTTCTATTTATTACATAAAATAGCTGTGTTGCAACAAGGCCACCAAGAACTGCAGCAGAAAATGCTTCATACTCTGAGTACTCAGATAATGTAAAGCTTTCCCTCTACTTCATTATATAATTAAGCACTATGCCATGAAGGCATGTGGGAGTCGACATACAGCTCCACCATTCTTGATGAAAGTGAATGGTAAGCTTCACACCCCTGGAGATAGACACCCTGGTACCAACTGGATAGGAGGATGGGTGGGCCCCAGAGCCGGTGTGCACACCATGGAGAAGAGAAAAATCTCTTGCCCCTGCCAGTAGCCTAGTCACTGAGAAAAAGAGAAGTCTCTGAATTCTGTCCACTATTATTTCTATAATGTTTTCTGGGACTGTAGCACATTACACCATCATCCAGAACTGGGAAAACTCAAAATCTTATGCGTTGTGGTTCAGTCTAGAATTACTTTCGCCCTGGATTTCACGGTGTTCAAAATTTCTTACTTGTATACACACATGCCATTACAAGATATCCACTTTACAACCAAGCAGGAGCTTCATACAGTCATTAAAGCACTGTGCAACACTTGAAAATACAATAGCACACACTATAAAAATTAAGTAAACCTCATCTGCAAATGAGACAAGAGAGCACTGCCATATTTTGTACAGAGTCTGATATATCTCACACAGCACAGGCATACCATGATTTGAAATGCATGAGGTACACCAGAGTAAAACCAGAAAGTGTGATTATGTGATACAGAATTGCTGAAACATAACATTATATTGCTTTACCTTTAGGAGTCATTTCTAAGAAACCATACATGGAAAAAACAGATGAAGTATGAGAGCACATCCACAGTTTAGAAAATTACAGGCAGCTGCTGTCTTTTGAATTTCCATTTGACTGAAGTGCCTTGAAATATACAAACCGATATACTACTTTGTGTCATGTTATTTGTGACTGGCTGCATGCAAATTTCATTCCCTTCTCACCATAGATTTTCTGCTGCTGCATGCCCATCCATTTTAAACCTCTGAAGCCTCTTGTTCATATAAATAAAATTCAAAGTTTCAGTTCCTACTGCACAGAAAACATATTGCATCTCCATTACAAAGACCAATCAGTTAATGTTGTTTAGAGAACTAGTGTTTATTAAGAATCATATGGAACACATAAATACGCTCTGTAGGCAAAATGCAGAGTTCTTTAATGCTAAACCATGTGGTGGTACATATAGTAACCACTGCCCCTTAAAGGGAAGACAAAGGACAATAAGCAGCAACATCAGACACAAATACATACCCACACAACTGCCACACTCAACTCAAGGTATACAGTGTCCAGTGAAGATTATACAGAAGTGACAATCACAAATTATAATTACCCTCAAATGTTTACTGAAGAAATGCAGTTAACTCATAAATTACCTAAAGCCATAGTAGGAGCCAAAATGTGTGAAGCCACTCAAATGAAAACATGATCTGTTACAACAGATATGCAATATGGCTGTTACTGATGTACATGGTGTTCATGAAGCCCTTATACAATTTACGGAAATATTAATTTTTCTTTCTTTTTGGCAGCACATCACTAATAATAAATGTACAGGAACATGTATGTGATGGTAATATTACTTTGAATTCAAGGGAGAAGTCAGAGAAGAAGTTACTCCACTCTCATCTGTGCCTGCCCCTGAGGAGGCATTCATGTGATAGTCCTGACCAGGCAGCACATTATCAGACACTCAGTTCTTAAGCTGGGGGCTTCATCTCTGACCTGGAACTTAGCTGGTAACAGACTATGGAAGTTAGTTAGTTTGCACCTGGAAGCATTCCATTTACTTTTAACAATAAGGTACCGTTTTTTCTAGCATACTTTCCATATTCTATTAGATTAAAACGTTCTGCTCAGTGCTGAAACTGAAACACACGTGTCCTAACAGACCGTAAACAGACATACAGCGTTGTGTACTGCCTTTGGGCCATACCTTGTCTGGGCCTGCATCACCCAGATGCACAATGCAGTGTTATTTCTATTGCAGCCATAGTGATTTCTAAACACTGAATGTACTACAACAACTAGGATGATAAATTCTGATCTCAGAGAAACGAAAGTAATAAACTGTAAATGGTTCTGATGCTAGTGTGTGACACTTGATATTACTCCATTCTGTTCACTGACTTAACATTCTGAACATTACACAACGTTCTGGAAATTCAACATGTTTCTGTCCCCGTATGAGAAGGTGGGGGAGGGGCACCTGTTCACTTCCCCTTCTGGTCCAGTTTCAGGTCTTCATGGATATCCCTAAAGTTTTTACTGAATGCTTTCTTATTATCTCTGATTGACAAAAAAAAAATCCCAGGTGCATATATGCAGTTGCCTGAGCTAGGTTGCTCAATGAGTGGATCACAGACAAAACAGAGTAGGTGCCTCCACACCTCTGTGCCCAAGGAGGAAACAGATCCAGTTTGTTATACGAGACAAAGTTCAGAAATCCAATGTTATTATGAAAAACTTAACACATAATAAAAGCTTCATTTTGTATATGAAAGTTACTTGTCAGAGTTCCTGCCCTCTGGAATTAGTTCTTCCAGCATCTTTCTTTCCTTCATCTGACATTATGTACGCTGGTCAGGTCAAAGATAGTGAAGCACTGTCTGCTTTGGAGATAGCCCCACATTTTGGATGAAACATACTGCCTCCATCTTCAGGGTAAAAGAGGAAGTCAAGGAAGAAACAAGCAGAAACATGTGACAAGCTGAGCTGCACAGCATAAGTCAGAACAGTGCCATGGGAACCCTCAGATCCAAAATTATTTGAAATTACTTCATGTTCATGACATACTCCTTCAAGTGACAGACTGAACCGCATACCTGATACCTCATGATAACTCATGTTTTCTATGACATCTGTGTAAAATTGTCATATTCTATGAGCAGATAGAGTCAGTGACAGCTGTGGAAACATATACTGTATTGCCAGCCTATAATCATTAGAATGAAAGACACATAACTGTCCTTCCCACACAAGTAATTTGACAATGACAATGTTAGACACAGTGATGGAGGGAAATGGGGGTGGGCCGGGACTCCACCCTTAATATCAGCACACACACCGCTAAGATGAAGGGGGGAGGGCTAAGGGG